CGATTGCCAGCTGATATCTTCACCCAAGGAGAGTGTAAGTCAGTGCCACAAATACATAAGCAGGGCCGATGTTTCTACTGCTCTATATTATCGTTTGCTTTTCGTGAGGGGCGAATTTCAGATCTCTTTGAGAAGTCTCATGCTATGGCAAGAGATTTCTTAGATTTTCTCAGCTATTTTTTGAGATGGGATTTTTGGGATTTCAACGATTTTGGGAGTTTGTTGTAAAATATCTGCTTATCAGGTGTCAATTATATACTGAACCCTATAAAAAACTTGCTCTTTGTGCCACAATTTTTTATAAACACGAGCACACAACAAAACATATTAAAAAATTGGAAATACCAATCCGAAGCAATTGTTTGGTTTTCCCCACGGTAAGGGCGCCAAAAGGATATTTTTCATTCTTTGTATTTAATTTTTAATTCATGAACAGCTGGGTGAGCTAAAAGAATGTCACCCAAATAACTGATTGACAAAAAAGAATCAAACTCTTCTTGGTCGTAGAAGGACACTTGTGTGATTCCACTTCTGTTTTTACAAGCACTAAATAAGATGGATATAAATAAGATGGATAAAAACTTTTCTAATGTCCTTGGCTGCAGAATGTTTGAGAAAGAAGCTAAAAAATACATCAAGTGAAATGAAACCGTAAAACGAAACCGGTAAGAAAATGCCCCTGATAAGCGAGGGTCGGGATTTACCTCGGATTGGCTTAGTCATTTCGGGCGTAGATATTTCATTACAGTGACTTGATCCTTGATTATATGAAAAAAATCTTAAGAACGAAGGCAAAATAGTGGGAAATTGCTCGGGGGTTAATTAAACCTAATTTTGGACGGGGACGTGCCGTTTTGGTTAAAAATTGGGACGTGTCGTTTTGGTTAAAAATTGGGACGTGCCATTTTGGTTAAAAATTTGGACGGGCCATTTTGGTTAAAAATTGGGACGTGCCGTTTTGGTTAAAAAATTTGGACGCAGAATTCCGCCAATGTCTAAAAAATGTGATCCGTAATTCCGCAAACATGGTGAAAACAATACCCATAATTCCGCAAAGCAAGCACATAAAAAATCATCAAACAAATTTTGCATGTCCTTTGCCCAAAATCTCAACATTACACATATTTCATACTTTTATTTCTGACTGAACATTAATTTGCTAATGCTAAATCTCCCTCCTAATAATTTTGCAATATTTTCCCAACTTGGTACCCATAATTCAACATGTCTTTTCAAAGGGTTCCCATAGTTCCGACATATTTCAAAGATTCATACCGATAATTCCACACTTTTCAGTAAAAAGGTACCCCTAAATAATGGCACGTCCCCGTACCTTCAAACATGTTAAGGTACCCCCCCCCCCGAAAATGACCCCGTGAAACTATAATAGCATGCTGCATATAAGCATATACATCCGCTTGCCAGAGCTCTCTTAAGAACATGTTGGCCATTGTTATTGTCGATAATTCAATTTCAAGAAACTAGTCCTCCAAGAAACTCTTAGTCTGATTTTTGTAAAGAGATATAAGGTAATTGAAGTAATCAAAAGCAAATTTGTCAACTTTAGTATCACTGTGAATAAGAGCATTGAAACGTAAAACGAACAGCAACATATTTTTATCTAACACAGCAAAAGTTAGGGAACTGCTAAAGCTAAGCTTTGTTGAGAATTAATTGAAATTATGGCCATTTCATGAACCGTTTTATGACAATTGTTGTAAAAAAGTTACACCAGCATTGCCATTTATTTTCAGCCAAATACGCTCTTGGCTTATTATACAAAGCCTACTAGTTACAAGATTCTTTGTTAAATTCATTAAAGAAACAAGTGCTATTTGGGTTGGTGCTTATCTGAGGGGTGTACTTCTTAAAGAGGGTACTTATGCTGAAGTTTAAAAGGATCTAGGGAAGTAAAGAGGATGAAAACTTTGAAAAATAAGGGTTGGCCTTCATTAGAAGAAATCACTCGAAAAATTGTAGCATTGGGAATACAGTACGATCTCTTATGCTACTATCTACAGGCAAGCAATTTTTAAGGCTTTCTAACTTCCTTTAATAGAAATTTCTTGGTGATGCAAAAATTAAAAATGACATTGAAAAAAGCAGACATTTTTAAACATGCTGAAGCTTTTCGTCTAAAATGCATTTTCATGTGAAAAAGTTTTGGTATCTTTCGAAATGTTTGCTTTTTTCAAAGCCTTTTTTATTTACAACCAAAAATTGCTAATTTTAGTAAATCAGTCATTTGGATAAATTGCGTTAACAAAGTAATGAAATTTTAATCATCTAAGACTTCATGGCTCAACTGAGACGACTCAGATATGAAGTTCTGTTTTAGACACAAACAGCTCAATACCAAGGCTGTGTGAATTCACATCATTTTGCAGGAATGTTTAAATGCTTATGCAACCCGTGCATTTTTTCTATTTGCAGAAGCCTTTCCTCTAAACTTAGTTGCTTAGGCTTTGGCTTTGAGGCCATCAAAAATGCATCTGACTCCTCCTTTTTTGCATTTTCACCAATTTTCTGAGAATCAACTTCTTCTTCCTTTTGAATATCGACTTTGTGGGAACTATCGTTCCTTATGGGCAAATTTGGTAGCGCTCTCTTTCCAACAATCTCATCGCGAGCTTTGATCCAGTGCTTGCTCCAGTAAACTTCATCATATTGTTTCGACAACTGACCGTTCATCATTAGTTTTTTTAAATCTTGGCACGAACGAGATCTTCGACGCTCACTTAACCTTAAACTTTCTATCTGTGGTAGAAACGGTTTTTGTACATGATTAGAAAACCTCCTCATTAATAATGGCGAAACGTCTGCCTCTTCCAAACTCCGCACATTCGGGTTTGCAGATTCCCTTCTTTGCTCTGTAAGCATACACTCTGCCGACCGTGCTTTTTCGATGCGGGGAAATTCTTCATGCTTTCCAAATCTTTGGGCATTTGTTATTGTTAAATTTTTCAATAATTTTGGTTTCGATGCTTCGAATTTCCAATCTGATAATGCGATTTCTTCTCGAGCTCTAGGATTGGCCGATTCTATTCGATTTTGTTTCTTCTTTGATTGAATGTATTTTTGCGAATTCCAACGGGTAAATTCTGCAGCCTTTTTACTTGGAAAACTTCTCCAACAAGTTTGATTTTGAATCTTCTTTCCCTCCATTCCAGCAGTATCCTTGAGCTCTGATGTTAACTCGATACTCTTGTTGGATGTTTTTGACAAAACCATTTCCACCGCAATTTAATCCTTCTGCATTGGTTGCACTTGTTGAAAGATAGGAATTACAGTTCTCTCTATTCTGTTTCTTACTTTATCCTTTGTTATTGTTTTTCCATAATTCCAATTCAATACAAGAATTGCTGCGAAATATTTCTGCGATTGGTAGGAAAAAGCAAAGCTCAGAAAACCGGTTGCTAAAAGAGAGAAATTCGGTGAAAAAGCAAATAAAAAGTCCTTTCCTCTGTTAAAACAAAGCAACCGAACGTGTTGCATTAAACGTGTTGCATTGATGGTCTCACGACAAACTATTTACTGCAATAGTTGTTTTGCGCAATTCCTTCGTTATTCTATTGACCACTGTTTGAAATGCATTTAGAAAAGGTTTCCGATCTTTCTGTCAATGAGCCTCATTTCATTGGCTTTAGTCGCCATTAAAAACATAGTTTCACAGCTTGAACGGGTGACTTCGCAATTTCAATGCACTTAAGAATTTAATTACTTGGATTGTTGTAGCAACGTACATTCGACGCAAGGAACTAATTGTGATTCTCTCAGCATTTTTCGCAAGAGCATTATACGTCAAATGTACCAAGACAGTCAGTATTTAAGCAACTCAAAGAAGATATACAGCCCGGGGGGGGGGGTACTCCCATTAAGGCCTGACAAAGGGGTCCAGTTTTGCCAACGACGAAGCCTGGTTGTAGGTGAAGGCCCTATCAAGTTAAGAGGGCGGTGGTCTGGGGGCTACACCCGCAGGGAAATTTTGCATTCCTTCGCCCTAAAGACTCTCCGAAATGGTGGCAACACCCATTAAAATACATTTGAAATCGAAATTTTTTTCACTTAAATATCAACCTCAAGAGAGGTTGGACCCAATCCTACCTTACTTAAAAACAAAACTTTGTTCTGATGACCATCTACATGGCTTGATATAACTTTTGGATATAACTCCCTGAACACACTGTTTTTCTTTCTTAATTCAAAGTTGGTACAATCTGTAGCTATATTAAAGCTAAATAAAGCCAACTAATTTATGTTGCCAACGCTAAATACAATTTAAATCAAATATAACTGGTGTTGCATACATATTCCTTGCAAAAATCACAAGTACAATTGAACCATGAAAATTCTGAAATTTTTTCTTAAATATTTGTAAAGTTGGAGAGTACTTATTTCGTTTGCAACTGAGTTCCATATTTGGCTACATCTGTATCATGAGAAAGATCTTGAGAGCAAAAGGAATAATATCATTCAATTATTTATTCTTCTGAAGAGAGATAATTCGTCTTAAAAAGGGCGTCAAAAACTTGCTTTTGAAATTTCAGATTGCACCAGGGTTCCAATAAGAATCTCATAAGAAAATCAAATCGCTCAAATCTTTAAGAAGCTTTTAGTACCGGCTCATAAATATATATTTTTCTGACTTAGTTGTGATCAGTGCCGTGGAGAGCTTTTCGGAGGCCTCGTGGCACAACTGATAGAGGAAGCCCTTTGCGAGCGAAGCGAGCAGAAAAATTTTGGTGACCGTGCACTTTTTAGATTACTAAAAATTCATTTCAGAATACTTTTGCAGTCTTTGTCTTGCAATCGTTTAAAAAGTTTTACAATTTTGTTATTTCTTAGTTATTGCTTTCACAAATTGGAAACCGTGCTGCCCCCGTAACACTAGGGCAAATCTAAGACCCATATCCAAAGATTTTGCAAAATGCCCTGTTTTGCCAAAATTTTGAGGGGCTATGGTTCCCGACCCTCCACCTCCCATCGCTCATTTCGTCGCTTTATGGAAACGAGGCCTTCATAGGACAAGGCCTAAGTTTTTTGAAGATGGCTACTATTTTATTTATATTTAAAGTGGCAATATTTTGTACATTCACTCATACACAGGTTGCTGAAGATATTCACACTGAAGAATTATTTCTAAAAAGGCTGCAAACCGGGCATGTCTACACTGTTTCACAATTTACAACTATTTCACAGTCGTTCGCCTCTAAAAAAGGTAAGATAAATTATTATGGCGCGGCGCGAGTTTTATCTCATCTTGTTTTACAATCTTTCCATACGACATGTTTGTTTGTTTGTTTCTTTGTGATCTTATTTTGCATGTAAAACAATCCTAAGCTACTTTCAATTAATTTGTCAAATTCGATTATTTATAACAATTACAATTAATAATGATTACCTATCATTATTAAAAACATATTATAACAACAGCACCCATCCAGTAGTAAATGATTATGAAATTAATCAAGAAGTGTATACATTGTTACAAAATTACGTTGATACAATTGACATTGCGTCATTCAATGTCAGTTCAGGTAAAAGTTAAAATTGTCATCCACCATCTCAGAAGAAAACATTAATTCCTTCAACATTTTGATCACAACACTCACACATATTGAGCGATATTGGGTCAGAGCTGTACGACTCATGCAAATTGTACAGCTCATGTCAAATATGTAGGGGCTCATGTCAAATATGTACAACTCCTGTCGAATTTTCAAAATCGATAAGCAAACAGAAAACAGAATCTAGTTTCCCAGCAAGATCATTTTCTTGTCAGCTAGACTAGACATATGCTATGTTCCATATGCTAACACCCTACGTAATATGGATACACCATCAACAAGTACAGGTCGCCCATACACAATTGAAAAGAAAGACACACTGCCAATTGCCAATGAATTTGAAAAGAAAGGTTAAATATGTAACTTTACTCTGTAGATGTCAAGGCAAGACTTGCATATATTTGATACAAAATTGACTTGTTGTCCAATTTAAGTTGGTGTCTAGTTTTGTTGAAACATCTTGAATCCATGAAATGGAATACGGCAATTAAATTCTGCATGGTTTCTACCCTTACCAGTCTATAACGATGCATGCCAATAATTCTCAAACCTCGTTAAACATCAAGCATCAAGCTTGCAAAATTTCATCAAGATCAGATTTGTCCCACTTAAATACTTTTCCAGTTATATAGTGGTTGTATGGCATTGCCGAAATCAACAATAACAGGTTTCCTTACTTTGAAAATGCAATAGCTGTGAAAGAAATAGTCCTGCAAAGTTTCTAGCATTATTTTTGTATTCTGCAGGAATGAAAATGATGGGATGTTTATTTTCGGAATGGTAATGCAAAGAATGCCAGAAAAATTAGAAAGACAAGATATTGTTTATTTCCTTACAAATTCAAAATGGCCACCAATCAGTGGTTTTACCTGAAAAATGACTAAATTTAAATTGCGATATTTCAGCCAATATAAAAGATATTGACATGAAACTTTGGGAAACCATATTTCTAAACAGGATTTATTTGCAAAATGAAAATGAAGAAAATCTGAGATGGTGAGTGTCAAGGCCTTGTTAAATTGACATGGAATGACCCACTCCGATGCAGTTGATTATTTACTTTTGGTAGTATTGAAATAAAGGATAAGACAAAATAGTCTCCTTCATAAGTATAGGTGTTGTCTATTATATGGCAATTATTATCATGATTTTCAATCATTTGAGTGCACTTTATTTAACAGCGCTAAAAAACATAGAAAGGAGTTAACTTCATCTCTTGAAACGCTAGCTTTAAACCAAAAGATAAATCGTCTATAGGTGATATTACAATTGATATTCCAACTGATAAAAAGTTTTTACACGCTTACAAACTTAAGAGAGATGTCATAATAGCAGAAAGGGCAGGCAGGAAGCATTCCAGAAAGTTTCACCAAAAAGTTAGACCACTGCATTCCATTTACAACGCATTTCAGACCCCATCTAATTTTGGTAAAGTTTTCAGACCCCAAAGAGCACAATTTTCCCTGGAATGAGTAACAATAACTTTAAAGCCAAAGAAAGTGTAGAAATTGTGCTTTCTATGAGGTGAATTCCTGCATAATCTTGACACATGTGCCTACTTTAAACCTTAAGACTAATATCATTTGATACTTCTTGATAGTTGATAGTTTAAGCATGAATTTTTTAATGAGATTTTACTTTTTTCCATATTTTACTAGCCTGATATGAAACCAATGTTACTTCATCAAGTATAAATCCCTTTAGAGTTTAAGACATGATAATTGCCTGTTTACCTTTCTTCTTTTCCATGGCTTCTTTTTACTGTACAAATGGTATCTGATAGAGCTAATATTAGAGGGCTGGAAAAATAACTTGTCTTTGTTTCTTCACTATGAGAGCATAAAAAGAGAACCTAACTCGATATTTGGAAAAAATGAAGTTTAGTGTATGTATAATCATCTCCAAAAGAAAAATCCAAACATCTACACTGCCATATAGTTTTTTTCAAGTTATTTGCGATATGGTGAAAAATTTATGGATTTGTGAATAGCTCAAGAAAAGTTGACCATTTGGTATTTTTGATGCTGTTTTTGGATTCCTCACCCAATAAAACCTCTCTGAGTGAATTTGTAGAGCTACAGCATTTCTTAAACTGATAATATTTAAATGAAGTAAATTCAAAATGGCCGATTTTTGTCACGAAACACGGTTTAAATTAAATTTAAAAAATGCATAACTCAAAAATCGTTTAGAGTTAGATGCTCAAAATTCCAGGATTTTCTACTGTTTATGATATCTATTACTGATGAAAATTTCAAGAAAATCTGCGAGTTAAGGGTGTCATGGTCTGGATGATTTGACATGGAATTACCCATACCATGTTATTTAGTACTACTTCATAAAGCATTCATTTCAGACCCCTCTTCCTTTGCTTAGGTCACGGTCCCATAATTACTTATGAACAATTTCATAAAGGAAAGGTCCATGAAAAAAGCACTTTTGAGAGTTCGTTTGAAGTCTTCGCAAACATTTGGCTAGCTTTTGAAGCCGGCCACAAATGAGGTCACTTAGGCGTTGCATTTACACGGGACCGCTTAAGTGACCTAATTCTTATGACTTGCGCAATGTGTCAAAAACTTGAAGCCAAAAATCATTGTAAACAAAGAGCTAACAAAACAATTTCTCTCATTCTCTGTTCTCGTGTGCTCTCTTCGCAAAATTATGTTCAAAGAGGATGGGTGACATAACTGCTATCAATGATTGGGAATTTGCGATGTTTGCTATGCCTTTCAGTTTTAAATTTCAAAATGAGTTATTCGACGAAAGTCGTTCATATTTTCACCAAAGCAAAAGCTACAAACGCAAAATCTAACCGTGCAAATATTTGGCCGGCCATAACCGTTTACACGAGGCCGCACGCGAATTCGGCCGGCCAAGTTTCAAGAAGGACGCTTTCCAAGGTGGCCGAATATTTGCACGACTAAATGACCTAATTTGAGGTCGTATAGCCGGTCCCGTGTAAACGCAAGGCCTAATTGACCAAATATTTGACCAACCAAATATTCGGCCGGCCCCGTGTAAACGCAAGGCCTAATTGACCAAATATTTAACCGACCAAACATTCGGCCGGTCCCGTGTAAACCCAGCCTGATTCTGGTCTTCACTCTTTGCAATGCTGAAAATGACCTTTCTGCTGCCGCAGAGCTGACAGGGAAAGCCACAGAAATAGCTGACACACCCGACACTTTTATGAAAAGGGCACTTTGGCCTCCCTTGCCACTCCTATGAAAAAGCAAGAAAGATAGTTGCCTCCTGCTCCCCCTCTCCAGCGTCCCTGGCAGGCGATGAGGAGAATGACTTGGGGAGAAACAGCGGTGTCAATTAATCAGCGATGTCACATAATGGCAAAAAAATTCACTGCTGCAGCAAATTCCAGGGAAATGTACCAGGAAAGCTAAACTTGAAGATAAAAAATTGAAATGTTTTTCGCTTTTTAAAGTTGATTTTGTGAACAAATTTTGTGATTTTGTGATTTTGTAAAGCAAAGCTTAATTAAAAAAACAGCAACATCAGAAGAAAGGAAGGCTTTTCACAAATTGATAATGTGGCTAAGTAGAGTCACCATGCTTTGATGAAAGCAAAGAAATAGTCCATATCTGTATTTACGATTGAAATCTTCAGAATTTCTTTTCTTCGAAGATGGTGGTAACCATCGTAAATGGCTGTGGAATATTAAATCATGTGACAGAATCATCTCTGATAGGTGTTTATACTGTCCCGTTCTAAAACGGAACCGTGACGGTACAAAATTCGTTCGCTTTAAAAGCAGGAACAAAACTGAACTTTTCAAAGCGTGCGATTACAAGCATGCTGACAAATTTCATATTACCAGGACTGCATCCTAAAATATGTAATCAAAATAATCATTATCTTTTACAGGTCTTATAATCCATAAAACTTTTATTTGTCATCTGTTTCATTCACAACATTCTAAACGATAACATGGATGTGCCCTCCAATTAAGAGAATGCAGGGTACAACCCTTTCCAGTTGACAGTAAAAGAAGCTAGTAAAAAAAGCTTTTGCCAGATCTTTTTCTATCGCAGCTGGAGAATTCCGAAGTTTTTATTAAATTTCCGCTAAAAGTGTGATTATTCGAATTAAAAGAATAGGTGCTCCAAATATCATAATATTTTGTCTATAAAATGACTTTGCCTTCAAAAGGAAGTGACATGTCTGTCAATTTCACCATATGTAAGACACACCCTAAAAAAAGTCATTAGTAATTCGAAAATGGTGCGTCTCTTAGACACTGCTAAAAACAGTATACATTTCTTGAAGAAATTAGATGTAAGTCGAATGAAGATACCTTTCATCAAACTGAAGTTTTGTTGTATAGGCACATAGATCCAAATCTATCTCAATTAAACTAGCCTGCGTAACAGACCAAAAACGTCCACGGGAGCTGGCCTGAAACATATATACTTCTCCACGAACCAAGAAATCTCTTCAAAGAAAACTCAAACGTACGCCTTGTCTCATCATTTCTCAATTTATCTACACGTTTTTCCTCAACACATTTTATACTAACACTGCCCTACTGTACTTTTGTGAATTCAATTACTCAGCTAATCAATAGGCCACAATAAGGAAACCTATATTGCTTTCTGCTAATGCCGATAAAAAGGTCTTACGTAGGTTTTGAATGCATGATAGATATAAGTTTCCTTTACCTCGTTTACATACACATAAAAAGGAGGCAATTACGTAAATAAAATAACATAACAAAACAAATTAAACTACTTCGAGTCCTCCAAGTGAATATAGCAATAAATTTTAAAATATAACATAACATAACAGCAATATAACTAAATACTTCTTATGCGCGCTGTAGAATCCCCACTTACTTTTATAACATTTTTATACTAGAATTTACACCTTCTATTTATAACATTTTTATACTTGAATTTACACACTACTTTTATAACATCATTTTTAAAAATGTACCTTTGGGTTTCTGCTAAATTTTATGGCCTGATACTAAGTCTGCTACTCATTCTAGGCTCACATTACAAATTATTTCCAAAGTCACTTGGACAAATAGTCAAGAAGTATGATGTTGGAGAGATTCATTTGTCCTTATCTCATGGAAGATGGAGATACAATTTATGGGGCTACCCTATGTCATCAGCACCATATGGAGTTGAACTATGGGTTTGGTTTTCATCAACTTTAGATAATGATAAGTAAGTAAACCTCTTTGTTTTTGTTTTTACCTTTGTCTAAGTATTTATTCATGGACTGGTTTTTTGGAAACATATGGTAGATTCAGGTGTGATGATCTAGCCTTCATATGCATGATTTCAGACTCAGAACAACATCTGTTGATTTGAGATTGCCAATCCAGAACTATTAACAATAGTTGAGGTACTCCTCAAACCACGTTTTTGGTAGCAGAGAGTTTTTAGTAGCAAAGATTTGAACTTTAGACCCCGTTTACACTGTGCCGGATGAATTTTATCCGCATCAAAATTAGTTCAGATAGGCGTCGCGTTTACACTAGACCCACGCTATCCGCACGAATATGAGAGCGGCTATCCTAACAAAATTAGTTCACCTAGGATGTGGATTAAATTAGTTCGGATAGCTATGTGGTACAGTGTAAACGCTTTTATCCGGATAAATTTTATTCACATCGTATCTTGCTCATAAGCAATTGGCTATTACATCCAATTTAGTTTTCACTGTCTCCCAATCAAGACCATTTGCCATCTTGGCTGCCTTGTTGTCGATAAATACTCTTGTTAAAAGTGCAGTATCTTGCCAGTCCACGTAGAATTGGTATCCTTGTCAGCTTTCCCTACTTTCGTTGCTAGTTCAGTGTCATTTTGTTTCAAGAACAAACTATTAAAACAAACTAGGCCTAATTTGTATTGATGATTTTGAAGAGAGAATGAAGTCTTTTTACGTTGGCGGGAATTTTGTTATTAATTTGTTGCCCAGAGATGACCTCGTTTTGAGCGTTCTGTGCATGATTTAGGTCATGTCACTGCAGTTATCCAGCACAGTGTAAACGAGAGGGCAAAGTGGACAAAATTTATGCGGCACAGTGTAAACGTCTAAGGGTCTTAGGTTAAGGGGTTTTTTGCTGCTCTTAATCTTAGTATTGCATCTCTGATTGGATAATGCATCGAGCTTTCTAGTCATGTTTTTTCAACTTAGCTAGTGTCATTTGCGTGTAAAATGTATGTAAGGGGGCTCTATGTAAAGACTAGTGGGAGGATAGAACTATCGGGCAGCATTTGCTGAAAACCCAGATTGTGCAAAAAACTATAATGGCGACATGTTTCGGATTATTGGTAAAGCCCGATCGTCGTTCCACCTAGCAGTTTTAGAATCTATCTACATAAGCACGAAAAAACCGCTACTGTGTAGACAAAAGGAGTTTGTTTTCACCTTAGGACTCCACTGGTAACATTCTAATAGGCAAGCGGCACTGATTGGTCAACCTTTACAGTCATGTGCTTGTGTTTCTGATTGGCCTATTTCGATCCACAACTGGGTATATATATTTCCCAGCGTAGAGTTTTCGGTCTATGTTCTGACGTTTTAAACTCTGAAGACTGTCAGACGAAAAGCTTTAGTTTACTAAATGTTTGCTTTTTTCAAAGCCATAAACACCACAATCAACACTTCGCAGATTTAAGGATCGCCTTTGCCCAATTCAGCTTTGTTATGATTTAGTTGGCAATGGCGGTCCAATTAAGGGGCCCAGCAAAAGTGCCATTTGTCATTATCCGGGTTTTTTTGTCAAGTAAAAACGGCTTTAATATGATGCGAAGTGTTCCCTGTTTTTGTGAACTCTTGAATGGACTTCAGTCACCTAATAACCGGGTTGTTTCGTTGCCATAGGATTGATGAAAAGTGGTATGGGTTGGTGAATGCTCTTTCTGGTCAGTTTTGTGCGTCTTTGAACTACCTGCGAAAAGGCGTTTCAGCATCACCACGGTACTCATTTAGGCCCATGGGTCTGTGGCACAAAGATCAAGAGAATGCTTCAACACATCTGAGGTATGCCGTATTGCCACGAGAAACTGTCTGCACGGAGAACCTCACCCCCTGGAAGAAGCTGCTACCTTGCCAAAGTAAGGTAATACCTCATAAATTATTATTTTATCTTCTTGATAGACTGCTTTGGATGTTTTTCGTTTGCCAGTGTTTGATGTTAAATTCATCTTTTCTCACTCAACAGGCTGGAATTGCATCCCTGTTCAATGCCTTGCATCTGTATGAAGCCAGTTATCATTCCATCGCTGTCCATCTAAGAACAGTTTGCGTGGTAAGAGCCACAGGGTCTTTCCATAGTAAAGATTTTGTTTTAGTAGGTTTTCTATTCTTAACTGAAAATGCCAAAGCTAGACTGATTTCTTTTAATCCTAATCTATGTCTTTCAAAAATTTGAAGTTCGAATAAAATAGACTTTTGTGGATTTCAATTTATATTTGAAAAAGTTATTCTTGACAATCGAGGGAGCCTAAATGATGAAAATGACAGTACTTGAAATTTTTGTTGGATTTTATAGCCATGTATTTGCAAAAATTTTCTGCCATCTGCCTTTAATGCATTGAATTGATGAACGAATTGTCAAGAAGCGTCAAAGTTATTAATTTTATTCAGATGAAATTTTTATGCGAATCGGCGTAATGTGTTTTTGCGACCTTACAAACATGAATTCCGGTTTTATCTTTGTAGGACGCAAATTGTTCTTCTCCATCCACCGAACTGAAACAAACTTTGTCTTCTGTTTATGATCCTGATATCAAAGGCTTGAGAGAAGGTATTGTCTTCCATCTTCTTGTGCGGATCCAAGCAGCCATCTTAAAGATATATTCTTTAGCATAACTTTGCCATTGGAATTCATAATATTATCTCATCTTAATTTTTAAAGAACACTTGAAACATGAACATGTGTCCATGAAAGTCACTTCTTGCAAGTCATTGCTCTATACACGCTTTTTTAATGCATAATTCCCAAATCCCGAGTGAGTTGCTGCAGGAGAAGGCAACATCAAGAAATTATCTTGCATTTCTTAAAGGCTCTAGCCATACCCCCTTTAAAGCAGTAGTGGTACAGTACGATTTCCAAATTAATCACATATCTCTAAGGTAAGTTAATGTAAAAACTCAAATGTTCAAACAATATGTTATGATTTTGTCTTGTGGTCTTGATTTTGACGGATCTTTGGTGTAAATTATTGTGTTTTATTTCATGGTTTACTGGTTTACTGTAGTCTTTAAAGAAAGACCTCGTAATTCAGTTTCATTCAATATTCATAAATTCTCCTAATTTCATTCCAGTTGTTCAAGTTGAGCATTTTGTTCATTGTTTCTGATCATAGATCAATCCTTTCTAAAATTACTTTCTTTCTCCTCAGTTTGGTCTTTTGGACGATTGTTTGGTGAAATTTTGAAATCTTCTTGTCCTCTTGCGACAAGCAGTAAAATACTGGTTGCTCTTCCAGACATCAGCGTATGTTGATTATTCATCATCTATAACATCTGTATTACATTTTAGTCTATCTTAGCCTTTTTCGTAACAACCGTATTTCCTTTAAAGAACGCCGTGGCATTTTTTACTAAATAAAACATGTTGGTGTGGCATTTTATTAAGGGAGGCGTTAATACAAAAGTATGTGTGAAATGAAAAGTGACAAGAAAAGTGCGATAAAAAGCAATGTTTTAGTTTCCCAAAAAACACCCCTGATAAAGAATGTGTGAAATTTTTTGTAAAGTTCACAAAAGATATGTTCATGTTATGGAAATGTCAAGGAATGTCAATATTCATGTCTCCGTCAGAGTCCTCGTCTCTATGACATAAAACTTTCATAGCTTGCGAATGGTGAGCGTATAAACTATTCGTTATTTCTTGTTTGGTCTGTTTGGCTGCGTAAAAGGGGGTCTAAGTTTGTAATTTCTATCGCTAATAGCATTTTGGCCGTTGCCGTTTATTTAGGAATGAGGAGTGACGTCTACCATAGTCCTATTTCCGTCGTTTATTTCCGTCGTGCTCCAATCGTTTATTAATCATATCGGGTCACGGCCCTTGCACAAAAGGTTAATCTTGTTGATGAAGCAGACCTTGTATCTCTGCATTTATTTTGCATATGGCTTATCTTGCAAATCAGTAAATTTGTTATTTCGTCCATACCCGTTGCCTGTTTTTAACGAAATAGACAGACGAGGTAATCCTATTGTAATGTGAATGATCATGTGATATGCATAATGTGCATCTGCGATCATGGCCCATAATGCTGACCCAATAGATAACAAGACACTTACGTATGACCCCCTCCCCTTCCACCCTCAAAATCAATATTGCAATTGGTTGAGCCGGTGTGCCTCCTCACTTACGCAACAGTCTCGTTCAACATTGACCTGGGGGAGACATGTGGGTCCGTTCACCAGTCCGTATGGTATAGTTTTAAGGTCACCACTTTTTCGCATCACATCGGCTCTTTTTTGCCGAGATTCTGAGCGGTGTTTGGTATCAGCATTGCCAGAATTAGCGAACTAACCTGCTTTGGGTTTCTAGATAGTCACATGCAATTATATGATCTGTATGGCGGCGACCTATTGATTACGATTGCTTGTGGATTGAAAACACGAGGTTGCAACATTGATAATGGCTAATGCCATTTGTTATAGAATATAAAAATTCAATTTAATACACTTTCTTTTGAGCCAGGCACTTGATTAATTTATGGTTTTTAGGGAAGAGAGTGTTGGGGCTAGGTCCTCTTCGCTTCTGCGATTTCTTAAACATCTAGTCATCACAAATATTAGACTGTGTAACCGTCGAATTTACCCTGCTTTCATAGGAAGAGAGCAAGCACAGTCTGAGCCCCAAGCCGACCCATTACCAGTCCAAAATGTATGCTGGTAGAGAATTTCATTTTGCAGTTTATGATCTGAAGCATATGGGTAAGCAGTTATTCTTGTATCTGCCAAAAATGAATGGCAGTCATGGGTTTGTTTTCTCTGTCAAGTGTAAATGCCATTGTTGTCTTAAATTTCCGTCCATTCAAAAAACAAAAGATGCAGTAACATAGCTTCGGGACTATTCGAACGCACCAGTATTTGATATTGGTTCATATTACGTAGCAAACATTTCTAGGCCAGAGAGGATTTCGAGCATTTTTCTCCAAATTAAATTTGTCAAATAGAAAATAGATGCATTATCCCTACCAAATTGTTAAGTATCGGTCTCATTTGTCTCGTCGCCTGTTATTAACATTTTTCATCAATAAATGATTTTTGGTTTTCTTAGATTTACAGGCAGGCCTGGACCTGCGCGGAACTTTCTCAAGTGCCCTTGTCGGTATGAAGCTTTGAATTCGTTTATCTCTGTATGAATTGATGTTTTTCCATTCATTCTCTTAATTATTCTATTAGTTATCAATTTACAAACCTTATGTCACTAGTTTGTTTAAAAGTCAAAACATACAAAGAAACAGGCGTATTTCTAGTACTTCGTTATTGCAAACACAGCGATATCTTTAAAACTTAACGAAAGTGTGTCACGCGATAGCATAACTTATTCGAATTATATTCAAACAGATGCCCACGGAGATACTGAAGCATTGCGTAGTCTAACACTCTATTCCCTCCAATTTGTGCATTCAAAAATGATGCTAAATAGCTATTTTCTCTTTGCTCATCTGAAATTGTTGTCGAAGACATATCTGTATATTTCGTTTCGTTTACTTTCACAACGTGACCCCATGGAGGCCATGCTAAAGGCCTGCAATTTCAAACTTCAATTTTGATAAATTTATTGTATTATAACAACAACAGTTATTGGCAGTTTCCTAAAAACTTAAAAGTGATACGGGTAAATAAAGGAAAAGTCACTAGCAGGCTGCTCTACGGACTCCGATGGAGTTCTTGCGGCGAAAGGTTGATAAAAATGTAGCAAATAAGGAACACCGCATCCCTCTGAGAACAAACAACAATAAACACGCATAAATCAGCTGCTGCTAACATTTCGCTCCGGCATACGGGGCTTCACGCTACATAGAAATGATACTTAATAATAATACAAAATAAAAAACTTTAATCAATAGTATAAAAATGGAAGATTACATTTCCTCAGAGATGAAGCAATTTTGTCTATGTTTTGGTTTTGATCTAGGAGCGCTTTAATTCGAATCGGAGCTACGTTAAGCTGTGCTCGTTGTGCTTTCTCAGTTATTCTATATGTTTAACTCTGTATAACGCTAGCCTTGTTTTTGAATGCATTGCCAGTTGTTCTTAATTTTACACTCTAAGATGAACTGGCAAGTCTGCTTTCTGTGTTAAAGTACAATAGTGAATTTTGATATTGTGATTGGGAATATTCTGAAATATTTTTAGTAGCCCAAGCCGTCTTTGCTTACAGGAACGATAAGAGCATCAACCATCAATGCCCACCGTCATACAACAGGTGACCTTTTGATTCTCTCAACCTTTCCACATTACTTGTTTTTTATATTTTTACATTAATTGTTGTCTATATTTCTTCATTAGTTTTTTCTTAAGAGAGCCTGATAATTTTAACATTGACCTGTTTTCGATATGTACAGGGTATCGCGGGACAGAATATTAAAAAGAAAGATCACTCCACTGAACTAGATAACTGTCCCACAACCTTTTTACAAGTAGATGGAAGTGAGATGAAAGTGCAAGTTATCGAGGAGATTTATGTTTAATTGTATCATTTGATCTGATAAGCCTTTGGTACCGCAAAAAATTGAGAAATTGTTTTTTCAGGACATGGGGAAGAAAAAGGAGGCATTATATCGTTGATATCAAACGAGCATCCGAGCAGAGCAGTTAAAATTCTTTATTTTGACATGATCCCGTGGTATATACCAGTTTATTTGCACTCTTTGGTAGTGTACCGTGGTCAGGATATAATCAAACCCGGTAACTATGTAAATAGAATTTTGCTGCCTTGTTGTAAATGCTTTCTTTTGATCTCTAACTTTTCTGTAATTGCATCTCTAACTTTTATAGTGCCGATTACCCTGTAACTGTTTACATAGACAAACCCTGTTAGTGTATACAGACGGGTGTTGTCTTTTTAGATTCTTCTATAATGCAAGAAACCTGTCTCTGAATGTCTTAAGCCGCATCTTGTTGTTTGCTTAATCTTGGAATAGTGTAACGTGATTAGTAAGTGTTCTAGCTATCGTTAAATGTATCGGTTTCCTTTTGTAGCTTGGAGCTTGGTGCCCTATTCAAACCAAAGCTCCCTTGTTCGCTGCAATAATTGTTTAATGGGTGGAAATTTTCTGTCTTTGTTAGCTTTCAGATACTTTGCTTAGCCTAAAAACCATCGGAGAGTTCGCTGAAAAAATAAACCAGGAAGTTTTCTTGTTTGTTCAGCGTTCGGCCATAATTATTCGTAGACTAAAGAAAGGACTTTTTCAAGACTTCTTAAGTAACTTCTAGATAACTGCCTTCTGTGCAACACTTTGTTTATACCCTTTTTACTGTTATCTAGCGTATGTATCATGATGTGCAATATTCTCAACTCTATAGGGCTTTATTGAGTTCGAAAGGGCCTTGTGATGACTCTGCCTTGATGATAGCGCCTGGTCCCATTTGGGTTTTAAACCCCCACCTTCCTAGGTCTCCATCAGTCTCCGCTCTCACATTCAACACTCTAAATCTTTTTTTCCGTATCGTCCATACAAAAAATATTTTTAACACTTAATCTTATGTCTCTCTGCATCATACATCTTTAAATAATTCGAAGCTTTTTTAAAGTTATCTTTTTTCTATAGATTTGCTTAAATTTATACCAGCAAAGGAAAGAGTGAGACCCACAACGATAGAAATGGTTCTAACTGTACCCCCAAAATCAACCCTGAAGCTGTCATACTCCTTCACGAAGGCATTTCTAAAATGGACTGAACACCCCCCAGATTCGCACCATGGCTATTATATTGGGTAAGTAAAGAAAGAATTGCCCTAGCCAGGAGATAGATGCCATGATTTTTAAAAGTTCGGTCCTTTTGTCTGAAACTGAAAAGCCATTGGAATGGCTAAATCTAGTGGTTCTTCTGCTCTTTGTTTACAGTGGCAATTTCTTCGGAGTTGAAAATCACTAGTTTGTCGTGTTACTAGTCAAAGTGGTTTATATTAATGATGAATGACAGGTTTCGCCTATCAGTACGAGGGTGATGCACCCCAACGTGTAATAATTCAATGAAATGACACTGCGAAGTATGCACTTCCATTTTGTTTTTGGCTTCTAGCAAATATTGATTTTTCCTTGTCGTAATGAGTAACACGATTGAAATTTCAATTTTTGTAAGAATACCTACTGTTGATAAAAGCAGCGTTTTGTTTTTGCAGATCCGCTGTAATAAGTACCGTTTTGCCGGACGCATCGAATTTGACAGGCACTTCTGAGCGTTGCTCAACATTGTCTGGGTAATGAAATATAATTTCCGTTCTTTACAGCATTTATATTCGCTTCTCGCATTTGAAGCACTTGAAGCTGCCATATATTTTTTAGCTGTATTTAATATGATTGACTTTATACACAGCTCCAGTAATAAAATCGAAAACGGAGTAATTTAGATGATATTATCATTAATAAATGAACAAGCCATTAGTTTTCCCCAGGGCATATTTTCAATTTGTTTTAAAGGACAATATTGTAGCTATTGGAGCCTTCTTTTCCTTGAATCGTCAATTTTGCACAAGTAATGTTAAACGTTCTTGTGCAGTGCCCAAATATGGTACATATGATCAAATACTTTAAAATTTGCTAAAAACGATTTTGGCAAATTGAACGAGAGGCACACGTGTAAACCTTCTATGTATTTGTGAATTTGTTTCACCAAATTTAAAGTTATTAGGTGGAATAAGAAAGGCAATATCATCTAGATATGTTCAGTGGTTTCATCTTTTTTATTTTGGTATCGTTTAAGACCTATCAGCATGTTTTATTTCTTTTTTTGACTTGACACTTTTTCAATAATTTTGAAGTTTGTGAAAAACCTCTTATACCACCTCTCTCATTAAGTGTTTTGGCTTAGGGCAGCTTTTCAGCTTTTCCTTTTTCAATCTGACTACTCCGAATGCAATCAAATTTGCTTTCTGTAGCTTTTTTCGTGGAAAGAATATACTTTTAACTTTAATTTGTGCTATATTTCAGCTTTTCGAAAAACCCTTAACCAGATCGTTAAGAGTGTTTTCAAATCGTGAAAACTTTCTTTTGTTCCCAGTTGACTTTGATGACTCAAAGCACTGATGATATCAGGCTGGAAACTTTATCTGCAGCACACTTTCCATACACCAACTGTTTATAGCGATGTCCTTATGTGTTCCAATGCTATCAGCTTTTTGCTGCTGCTTCATGAAAGCATTGAATCAAAATCAGTAAAATACCAGAGTTTGTTGGCACTAATTTGATTTAGGTGTTTTAATGTTAAAAGTTTCCAGAACGTTCGATTGTACTAATTTTCGTTAACACTGTCCGAACTAGGTAACATCCGGCTGAATATGTAATCATTGTCCATTTTCTTCATTTTAGAAATTGCATTGGACACGATCCTCTCTTTGTGCGAATTCACACAGAGTCTAATCTACTTGTACTACCAACACCAGACTTCAGCATGCCTTTTAATGTTATATGTTTGTCGTGCACAATTTTTGCCATTGGATTTGGCTCCATACTCAATCTAGCAACCAGAAAGTTTGTTGTTGTTAGCAGCAAGAACAGAGTATCGTTGAAAGAAAGGTTAAAAAGACTTCTTGCAAAATTATTTAAAGCAAAAGCGAGTTAATTTTTGTAAGTTTTAGGTTAACTGTTCATCGTATACATTTTTGTGTTTCTACACCCCTCTTGTTTATTCGTTATTTGCTATTTGCTTCAGTTGGTTTATTTACCATAGGGATTAAAGGACGATAATTGCCTCGTATTGCACTTAGCATACAGCCACAAAACCGTTGAGTTTGTTTCAATTTTGAGAAAGAAATTTTCTTTGAGTTAAATATTCTGTTACCATGTTATATTCGGTCCATGTTATAACAGCCAAAAAACCAACTGGATAGAGAAAGAAGAAAATTGTTTTCATTTTATTGTCGCACGAGTATATTCATTCATTGTCTTGATGGTCAATCGGCGCTCCATATTCATGCAAATAAAGGCATCAATTAATGTTTTATCCAAAGCACACGCTCAATAAAAGGTGATTCCTCTTTCTATAATTTCATTCCGGTGTCATATGCGTTTCGGTAACCTTATGCATTTCGGTCCGGATACACAAACGAATGAAAATTTTGGTTATGCAAAACCGTACCCAAGCATTTAAACAATAGGGTACCAAAAAATGGTGGAATTTAGCATGCAACACGGTCAGGGTATACAAATGCATAATAATTTTGGTAATGCAAAAACGTACCCAATCACATAAACAATAGGGTAGCTAAACAAATGGTGGAAATTAGCATGCAAAACTGTCCGGGTACACAAATGCATGATAATTTTGGTTACAAATAAACGACCCAAGTGCTTAAACAATTAGGGTATCAAAACGAATGGTGGAAGTTAGCATGCAAAACGATCCGGAAACACAATCGCATGACAATTTTGGTAATGCAAAAATTTACCCAGGCACTTAAACATAAGGGTACCAAAAAAAATTGTATGCAGAACATGCAGAACGGTCCGGTACACAAATGCATGACAATTTTGTTTATGCAAAAATGTATCCAAGCCTTTAAAAAATAGGGAACCGAAAAGAATGGTAGAATTTGGCATGTGAACCTGTCTGGGTACAGAAATTTTCTGGTTCATATTTTTCAGAATGTGAAGAGCAATCAAACTATTTTTAAAAAAGAGGGTGCTAATAAGAAGTGGTGTTTTTATTTCCCTTGTTAAGTTTATGCAAATAAATGTTCAACATTAATGTTGACTCCAAAGTTTGCGTGATTGACATTTGTGAAATTTTATACTCGAAAAGCATTGTGCTTAATCTGTTACTCATAACGTCTCAAAACGTCACACCACGATGAAATCACAAGATTTGAAACACAGTGCGTTAAACAATGATACACTTTTGCATAGGGTACCAAACGCATATTACACCAGCAAAACATCAAATATCACACCAAACAAAATGTTTGACTTAAATCAACATCGATGCAGGTATTCTTGTACCACGAACTAAATTGAACAGTTCTTTCATGAATTTTGATTAAATGTTGGATCATTTAGTCGGGTTTTTAATATCCAAAATGTTCAACATTCCTTGCTCCTTAAGGAAGTATAAAGAAACACAATTTTAAATAAATTGAGAAGATAACCCTGAGGAGCAGCACTGATTACCATGGTGACTGTTTGGCTGTCCTCGTACAGGCAACGAGGTCTTCTAACGATGTGCCTGTAATGGCGGATGGATTGTTATTGCGCGCAGTAAAAGGACAAGCAAAAAGCCTCAATCTTGGAAATAAAGGCCTAAAAGCTGTTCCCACTATCATTGGTAGAGTGAGAAGCTTGCAAACTCTGACTCTGAAAGGCAACAGGCTCAAAGATTTGCCAAAAGAAACCGTTGCACTTCAGGAGGTTTGTGCTAGTGCGACTTTTGTCTTTGTGCCGTTTTGAAAGTTACGCTAAAAGTTAGCGACTTACTCAGTTCCCTGTTCAGCACTGCTCCGTTTTGTTTAGTTCCTGATTATTACTTATGGTATTTTTGGCTTTATAATTCTCGAATATTTTGATGAAAAGATTGAAATATGAACTTAAACTTTAACATAACATCACTACAATAAAAAAATTGACAATTTGATGCTTGAGAGACTTGGATTCCTTCCTACATGAACGTTATCCCCTTTAAAAAGTGACTGGCTAATTTACTGAATATTGCTAATAGAAGATAATAAAAGAAAGAAATTTAATTCTGCACTCCAGACAATTTTGACCAAAATCAAACATGATTGAACAATCCTGAACAACACCAAAATAGAACTGGCTAAGGGACACAGATTATTACTCAGCATTACATTAAAATTTGTTCATTTCACTTTATTGAATTGTTTTGTTGCGGCTTTTCAGTTTAAAAATCTGTAGTAAAAAAGCTGCAAGCAGGGCCAACACTTGGTCAAATTGTAACGAAGACCAAAGCCCACTACTTTAGAGTAAGTCATGAAATGAACACAACAACTCGTGGAATGAGTAAGTAATTAACTAAATTTGAGGTTAATGGTTAAAGTATATATACAAACGTAAACGAGGCTATAATTATATAATAAAGCGAGGTTAGTCCTACTACAAAATATTATTGGAGAAGGGGCAAGCCTATTATTTTCATAAGTTTGTATCACATTTTCACATTGTTTTAGAACAAAAGACTATTTTCTTCCAAAAAACAAAAAATATTGGGGGGATACGCTCTCACCCCCATCACCCGCAGGTGTCGGCCACTGGCAAGCAACCTGACGTTTGAGCTGCTAGTATTTAAGAAAACTGGCTGCAAGTAAGGTAACATTGAATGTCTTGAAAATGATGGGCTGTCAAGAAAATCTTGCAAATGTGGCTATGCTTCAAAATGAGGATAAAATAAAGACTCATCAAAAATTCATTGATAACCTTGTCTGCACAGTACAAATCCTAGAACAGGGTGAGAATATCTGCACTTTTGGCATGTTATCCATTTTCAGAAATTCAGTAGTTGCTAAATTTTCATTTGCTTTCAGCTTGAGAACCTCAATCTTGGCAACAATGATTTTTGGGAAATTCCAATAGTCATTGCATATCTGTCATCATTGAAATCCCTGCATTTTTTCAACAATCATTTGCATCAGATAAAACCAGAAATATTCTGTAAGTTCTTACATTTATTGATAAAAAAATCTTTTGTTTTTTCTGTTTATTTTTCAGAACTTATTATTTGTTAGTATAATCATGACTTTTGTATTTATTAGCTGTTAAAGTAAGGTGCACAATAGGTTGCATCCATCCTGTCATCCTGCATCTTTTTTCTTTCAAGTTCTGATCCAGCTTCCTCTTGGCACAGAATCATACATCCTTTATTTTGCTTATCAAAAAAGCAAATCTCTCCATCCCATCAAATTTTTACAAATCTTGAAGCTAGTGTTCAATAAGGACTTTTTGTATGAATCATGTTTTATTCTGTTTTCATGAACTTGCTTGATGTATACCGCATTTGATAAAAATTGGCATGCACTGAAATTATGTGTTTTTTACAGCAAACCTGTCCTGCCTGACCCTTTTGAATCTAAACAATAATCATTTGAGAGAACTACCAAAAGAGATCAATAGGTAGTTATTTTTTTTACTTATCACTAAATGAAAAATGTGTATTCTCAGAACAAAAATTGTTTGTGTGTACCATTGATGCTTTGCAGGTAAAAGTATGAGTTTTAAAGTTTGATTTTCGAACATCTCAATTCACTATTGATTATGTCTATGTGGTCTTTGCTGGCTTGCATGACTTGGAAACCAGACCCCAAGGAACCATCAATGAACATGCCTGATCTTTCCCAACATTTCTCAATGAGCAATAGCAAAAATGAAAATTGACTTAGACTTTCAGTTTTTGACTATAAGAGTTTTACCACGACTATTGAGGTTAACTGCTACAAGGGAGAACTAAAGAAAATTTCAATGAAAGCAACTGTTTGGCTGGATTTTATCAAATGTGACAAAGATTATGCATTGGGGTTGTATCAATGGAACAAAACTTTTTTATTGTGTTTTCTCCTTAGAATTTTAGACATGGACGTATCTTCTTCATTTTCTGCTTTTAGTTGTCAAGGGTGCATGCAGTATGCACTATATTATATTCCCAGCTATTTCTTAAACCACGTCCAGGGTTGTGGGCCAAATGTTGGTCACCTTTGATAAAATAAAATGTACATTTATTAGACATCTCACAATTTCTCTGCTTTGTTCCAGGCTTTCAGCTCTTGAATATCTGAGTCTTGACAATAATAATCTTGTTCTACTGCCAGTTGAAGTTTGCCATTTATCACAGCTTGTGGAGTTGCATGTTGCAAATAACCAGTTGCAAAGGTACACCTTTATATTTGTTTTTTCATTAAATGCAACAGTTGCCCCTTGCTTGCTCAGGTAGATATATTTTTTGAAATTTGTTATTTGTCCTACCAAGCACCAACATTTGTGTGGATTTCTCTTGCATCAGATAAGCCTTACCAATGGCATTGTGCCAATGTTATACTACTTTTGAAGGCATTTGGAAAAGCAATACCATTTTGGAAAAGCAATACTGGGCAAACATGGCTTTCCTACCTAGAGCCCAAAGCATGGAAAAGTTTTCAATCAACCCTAAAATCAACATCCAATGTCTACAAATTCAAGCATAAGATCAAAGGGAACATTTTCCAGATATTGTAAGAAGATGGCATATATGTCTAATACTAAGGACTGGTTTGTATCAAAAGACAGTAAAAAATTTCTTTATCACCCTTTTTCCTCGTTTTCCTCCCTGTTAAAACAGCACCTCTCAGGGGACCTCAGGTTGACCTTTTAATGCTTTCCCTTTAACTGAAATTACAGTTTTTTATATTTGTTTTTAATCTATATAATTTTATCTAAACCTTGTACAACCTTTAAAGAAAATACATACATAATTATTCAAATGCCCAGACAGCATGAAATTTAAAACAACTATAATTCAAAGGAAAGAGGAGAAAGGAGCAAGTTTATTTGTATCATATATATAAATTTATTCTACTTCTTTTAGCATAATTTATATGTTTTTGGTTTTTGCTATTTATGAGAGCTGATTGTTGGTTTAATTGTTTAAAGTTGTTTAATTGAAATTTTAGCTTACCTGTGGCAATTGCATTTCTGAGAAACTTGAGAAAACTCTATGTACAGAAAAATAACATTGAACTAATCCCGGAGGTAGGCTACTTACCGTAAAAACCCGCGTATAAGCCGCACTTTTTCACATTTTGCCCCCCAAAATCCTAGGTGCGGCCTATGTGAGAAGTGATCAACTTAGGTCCTCATATCTGAAAACGAGGCTTGCTATTGTTGCTGTAGGTAACAAAAAATTCCTTTTGTTTTCAACATAAACACCTGGAGTTGCAGACAATGCCTACACAAAAACTGTAATGAGGAAGGTTCTGCCGTGATTGTACATCAAGCATCACATTGTTTGTACCTGTAGAGAGGTTTTATTTCCGCATCTTGACGTCTTAGAAGATAACATAAATACATATATATCTTAACCATCGAAATTTGCCAGGGATCCTTACGATGAAAACATCGTGAATATTGACTATGTACTCCAGCTAGGGCCGATAAGAAAAGTCATGGCCTTTCCGCAAACCAAATTTGGTGCAGTTGACTACCGATTCCAAAAACGTTGGTATGAAAAGTACGATTGGCTGGAATATTCGGTCAAAAGGGATGCTGCATTTTGCTTTTTTTGCCGTCTGTTTGCCGGAAACGGTGAGTTTCCTATCCTATTTAATGTCGTTGTTTTTTAAAGAACACTTTTTGTATAAGAATGCCTAAATTCTTGTTGGGCTTCGATATTTTCAAAGATTTGTGGTTCTGTGCCTAAATTTTTCTATTATGACGTGGTTAAGCGACACAACGTGTAAATTGAGTCCGAATCAACACAGAAAGTCCCAATTATTGATTGAAGCTATTCTAGAACAATACAAATCTGATGAATGTACTTTTGGTCATTATCATTCTTAGTACCTTTGCTCAAAATAGTCGGACAGGTAAAGTAAAGGCCAAACTGTCGACTTGATAGGATCTACTATACCCCCAGAGTACCACGTGGTAGACGTGATATGCCACGTGGATTCAAGGAACATGCTGGTCTTGTCAGAGCACGAGTCAGTGTATGATCGAGCGACTATCGACTGGAGGACGGAAATCGTGTCCTCTCCATTTATTTTTATCAACTAACATAATCATCATGTTCCGTTTTGTTTTAATGAAGATAAATCTTAATTCGATCTCTCCTCTGTCGAATCTATCTAAGGTTCACAACTAGAATGTAAAATTTGTAAATTTTTTTACCATTTTTGAAAGAAGAGTATGTAATAATGTTGTTATTGACATCTTGGATATTTGCAATTTCCTGTCATAGGGCTTGAAGTCTATGAGCTATTTGATGCAGAAGTTGTTAACCTACAGATGATACGACAGGCAAAATCCGAAAGTTATTTCTCGAAAGGTGTGTGTGGGAACCCGCCCATTCCCCAAGAGAAGGCAACAATTGAAGAAACGTTATTTTTCTGGCTTTGCTAAGAAAACCCATTGCCCAGAAAGTTTCTATGCACTGGAAATTGTTCTAAAAAACATATTACAAAACAGAACATATTTTCATATTTCATATTGTTGATAAAACAAAACATATTTTCAAGCTGGGATACTTCTGTGCCTATGAATTCGAAAGTTAAAATCTATAATTTCATTTCAAATTTTCTTTTCTTATAGTTGGATGCTCCAAAGATGCTTTTGTTGAAGAAGGATTCAATAGCTGGAAGAAGGCAACAGGATGATCAGGAAGATTCGAAAAACACCAGAACTCCAGAATGCACCAGTTGTGTAGGGAAAAAGCACTCTATCGAAAGTCTCAGATGCCAATTAATGCTCTGCAAACCACGCCGATACAGTATTGAAAAATGAACAAGAGAAAGAAGCCAACAGAAATATTGTCAGTGTAGTTTTCGACGTGGTTTGTCATTTTGCATTGCAAATCAGAGCATACCACGGCCATGACAGGTCAAATGGAACCATGACAAATCGAGAAACCTGTCTAGTTACTCGAAAAGATATGGTGTTTCAGAGAAATGCCTCGCGGTGGAGCATTCCTTATTTGAAAAGTCTGGCTTTTTCCAGTTACTTTTGAAAGAAATAGAGGAAAGAGCAAAAATGGTTTGAAAAATCCGTGCCTACCGTTCATTTTGAAGCGTTACAAGGAAAGCGATCTTGATAACCTCTACCCGACATTGCATAGAGCCCTAATTATGGCCGCATGCATTCCCGTAACAACTGCATCATGCGAAAGGTCACACAACAGAGTCAAATTAATAAACACTTGCATGCGTGCCAAAATGGTGGAAGAAAGACTCGAGCAGTTGGTCATTATCATTAGTGAGCGAGATATTTCAGGTGCAATAGATCTCTACCGATTTTAGGAGACATTTGCCATAAAGCCAAGAAAACTTCCTCTTAAAGCTATAAATTTTAAAGCCTTAGAATTTCAGTTTTTTGAAAACATTATGTAGTAAATTTCAAATAGAGCTTAAGTAAGAGTATAAAAAAACTTTCTTTTCATAGAACATTCTTGTTTGGAAGGGTGTGGCACAGGAATATTACAAAAAATTGGCAATTCGATATGTTTGAATGGGCGTGGTCCACGAAAAAATTTTTGGGGGCTGTGCCCCCGAAAATCCGTTACCCCCTTACCTCTTCAGGCTGGCGCCGCCGGATGACGATGGTGATGAAGATGACGACGCGGACTTATTCTATCAAGACGAGAGAGTGACATTAAATCAAAAGGAATGGGATGAACTCTTTGGACTGTCTGAAGACGAGAAGAATTTCATGGATTTTAGTTATTGTTATATTGAAAATATTTTCAACGATAAAGTATTAGACAAAACATTTTTTTCTGAATTTTGAGGCCTCAAATTTGGGGGGGGTGGCTTATGTGCGGGGGCGCCTTATACGCGGGTTTTTACGGTATATTTGTTCATTCCTAGCCTATGTTAGACATGTAAGTTGCAGCCAACCATCAATGGCGGAACAAACGATCTGGTCATAAACTTTGACAGTGTTGCAATCTTCCTTAAACTTCTGTTTTGGAGCTTTTTATTGAAAGAGACTGTTCAATTATTTTGTAGCATCCTTGAAATGCTGAAAAGTTGCCATTTCTGGCTCAAGGCTGGGCCAAATTCTACTCTCTCTAAGACGGTGTAGTTATTTTCAAAGTTTTGATAAAGTCATCATATGGTGTAGAAGGGAAACTTAGTATGTCATTCAGTTTTGTGACGTTATTATTCACCTGTTTTTCTAAAGCAGAATTGAGTTGCGGTCAATCATCCTGCCCTCCTTTAGACTGCACTGATTCAGAAAGTAAACAACATTCATACCAATTCTTGGACCTGAATCTAGCTCTAAACTAAAAATGGCTAAGGACACCAGTTAACGTTTGGGGCATTTTTGTGTTACTTGATGAAAAAGACCAATCTAACACTTTTGAAGTAATTAAAGATAAATTCTTTGCAGGGTCTTGCCAAGTGCACATGCTTGGAGGTGCTAGACATTTCTGTGAATCAAATTCGATATTTTCCTGGCCAGGTATTATCAAATTTCTCAATTATTCATTTTCTCAATTATCTGTTGTAGATAATTTCTAAAGTATTTTTCATGTTATTAATTATTGGCTTCAGTTTTGAAGAAAGCTAGCATTGGTTAAATATCAAAGTGTCCCCAGGAACGTGGTCAATGGTCTAGTTTCTGTTTCCATTTTGACATGTCTTCCATGAAGAGTGAAAGATCGCAACGCCGCACGATTTTAGTGATTGATTTTCACTGCACTGCATATAGCAAATTTACAGGAGTTTGATCTCATTTTCTCAAACGTTGCAACTTTGCAACCCTTTGGTTGAATACAAATAATTTCATCTTCGTTTCGATATGACCTTGCCTTCAAAATCAAACCAAATTTCTCAAGACAATATTGATAATAAAATTCATTCTATTTGCATTTCTAGCTTGCTTCTCTTGGAATAAAAGAGTTGTATTGCGAGCAAAATAATTTATTGCAACATCTTCCTGTCCAGTCAATCCAAGATGAAGAAGTTTTACCCTTAAAGGTAATTGTTTTCAGCATCTAAGATTGCTCTCAAATCGTTCAATTTGTTTATTATTCAAACAAATATTGACTGATTTTTTTATTGATTGTAGGAATTAGCTGCAAGGTTTATTCTAACTGCTCTTCAAGACAGGTAAGTAGACAGTGTCAGCTCGTTGATAATAGTGGCCAAGTGATCGATCCACGGTTGATTAATGATCGATTGATCATAGTGATCGTGTGATCGATTCATGATTGATCAACCGTAAAACGCTTTTAACGCCGTCATTGTAACCTGGTATATTATTCTGCTAGAAATTGCATCTCTGTTTTCTCCTTATACTGCTTCGGTGCTATTCGGGTATTTTAAAGGGTCTCAGTTAGAGTAATTACGCCCCTCTGGTTTAGCAAAGTTTCTCTTTGCCTCACTGACAATATTCATGATTTCTCCTTAGTTCTTCACACATGCGCATTGAAGTGAAATACAATCAGAAAGTCCAAGAAATTCTGGCGAGTGCGCGCCAGTGTGATGTTTGCTCGAAGCCGTACCTGAATACATGGCTCGAATGTGTCAGATTTGTTGACGCTAGAAAAGTGGGTTTTTTTATTCTTTTGTGATTTTTAAGAAAAACAATAAGAAATGGATGGATATTTGCTTCAAAAAACCTGGGGGATTGCCCAAGATAGCTATCGCAACGTAGGTTTGTTCATCAAAATGTTGCTTTATATGACCGATAAAATTGCCTATTTGACACATTTTGCTGGGAGATTGATAGAAGCCCGATGGTTTGTCAAATTTAAAACCTTCGCTCCGGGTTTTACCGTGTTAGAAACTTTGCTAGCTTTGCCAGCTTCTTTCCACACTGGAAGCCTTATTTGGTATTTTATAATCCTAAGCAAGTTGCTAAATTGGAAAAAAAACGTTGGGGTGTGTCAAAGTGGAGGGTTGCTGGTGGTCTTCCCCACTTTTCCGTAAAATATTTAAGTGTTTAAAGCCAACCTTAATTGCACAGTTGTCTTATTTCAGATAATTGGCACAAGAAACAACTGTGGCATAATTCCGCTTCGTGGAATGCTCTGCTCGTATGCATGTTTTAATTCCGATGGACACGACTACTATGGAATAGCACAAGTTGACAGCAGTTAGTCGCGCGTGCAAAAAGCTGATGATTCTAGGTTGTACCATATGTGAAGTAATGTTCATCTTTCTTAAAATGTTTTTATTGAGATATAAACAATAACTGGAAACTTTAATCATATTTTCTTATTTCAGGTTTGAGCAAACTGTCAAGGGCTTAAATTTAAGGGTTTAAAGATATCTTTTCGAATGTCGCATGTTGTTAATTTCCCATGTCTTCAAAAATTCTTTTGCCACATTTTGCACGAAGCCTTCCGCATTGTCGTTGTATTTAAACGCCAGTGTCTCGTCTCCCCTCCCCTGCATAGGCGTAGGAAACCAAGGGGCTTAAGGGACTCAATCAGGCAAAATTTATCAAGTTTCAAGTCCATTCACGCAATTTTTTCTCAATGAAGCAACGATATTTGGGCAAGACCCACGCTAAGCTCCCTAAACATTTTGCATCCGCTACGCCCATGTTCTCCTGCATTTGGTGTTGCTGTTGCTCTACTTCATTAATTGACACTTGCAAGTGAAAAAGGGCCTAACATTTACATTTTGAGTAGCTATGTTTTCTTTTGACCTTAGGGACTTATCTTTACGGTATACATCTCATACCTCTTTTGCACTTTTGCTAAAAAGGCTGAATTTCTTCAAGGGATGTTTCTTGCTAAAATTCAATATAAGATTATTGTGGAAAAAATGATAGAATTTTCCATCATAAATAGAAGGAACCATGTAAGTTTCCCAAACACAATTTTGATCCACATCTGGGTATATATTTTTCATCGTGTTCTTTCGGACCCTTTTTCTGACGGTTTATACTCTGAGGAGTGTCAGACAAAAAAGCTTTTAGTAATATGCTGTGAAATGTTTACTTTTTTCAAAGCGATTTTCAAGTTTTGAACCGCAATGAAATTGTTCACAAAGACGATAGAATGTCATTAATCCTTTATTATACAAAGTCTTACACTGTTGCTGCTCCGAAATATGTTATATTTTGGTACTGCTCCGAAAATATATGTATTATTTTGGGGGAAAATACGAAATAAGGAATATATTGGAGGTGAAGCCCAAAAGAAACGGACAATCAATTTGGTTTATAATCAATCAGTTTCAAATTCGCTAGGCTCGTGCTCACCAAGTTCGTGTTCATGGAAGGTGTTCCTTCTGCTTCTCCATGTCAGTTTGCGTATTCTCACGACCAGTGGCGGAAATTATGGGGGTTGAGGGGGGGGGGGGGCGTCGTTTCATAACGATGTCGTCGGAAAATTCGGGCTTTTGTCGGATAATTGACAACCTTTTAACGTGTCGAAATTTCTCCAAGAAATCGTTCTGAAAAGGAATTTTAAGCCTATCTAAGGGGCATAATTGCCAAATTTTCTGCTCGCTTCGTTCGCAGGTGATCCACGTTTCCTTTTTTACCCCAGGGGCCTCTATAAGCTCTATGTGGCCCTTTTGCAAAATTTGAACATAGCATAGCTGATGAAGCATTAGCCAGTACTAAATAATCAACCAAACAATATATGACCAAAATCAAAACTGCTTGCGAATTGTATATTTAATTTAAATTCCTTAAGAATAGCCGAAATTTCCATCAGATTCTTCCGAATAAAAGTTATTTTCAAACGTATTTCCTACTGACGAAAACAAGATAAAATGCATGAAATGAACGTACGACTTTTCAAAAGAGTAATCGGTCGACCTCTCGTAACATCAACTGTCTTAGATGAGATATCGATCTTGATATCAAAAATCATAATTGGATTGTTCTTCTTGCTACCTAATTATGGTGTGATCAGGAAAGATTTCTTAAGGGATTCGCCAAAAATCATCTATTTTTATCAAATGTGCAGTTTCTTTAAAATTAGACATGATCCAAGATGTTATCTTGTCGAAAAATTGTAGGCCTGCCCCCCCCCCCCCCAAATGAAAGCTTGAATTTCCGCCACTACTCTCGACGTTGCTTGTAAAGGCTCTTTAAAGCCTAATCTCGTCGGAGACAGGAACGAGACCTACTCTCAAATGCGTGCGAGCGTACATGAAACTGATCGCAACGACCGTGATCATCCCCAATGTACGCATGCGTAGGTTTGAGCGCTTCGAGCGCGCACTCAAAAATGACTCTGACGAGATTAGGCTTAAGAGAAGTGGAAAGATAACCTTTTAATTCTGCCCCAGTGTTATCAGTGAATATCTCGCGTTTTTAATTTTGATCAAGCTTGCGTAGAGCATCACTGCATGTCGTTCAAGGTGACTCTGATCTGGAGGTGCTAAGATAAGAAACCATTTGCTTTCAATGGGAAAGCACAGAATAGTTCGGATTTAAATGCTTCACCATCCTGTTTATGTTCACCATACTTGTAGCACAATTATGTGGACAATGAATAGACTGATTTTAATCGAACCGCGGGTTTCTGAAGGTTTCACAAAATTGGCGAAGATAAAGGGGGCGTGACTGCTAAAGCAACACCTGGTGTAGCGTGACAATGAATGGAAGAACTGGTAATGAAGCAAACATAATAGACTGTTATAACTGAAAGATTGCAAGGCTGGGGCAGAGGAGGCTTAGCTCCAAATAATTCCCAAAGTTTAGTAAAAACGATACAATGTATCACGTCTAATCAACAGAACGAATAATTATGATAATAAAGTACCGTAGAAGGTAACAGAGGTCGTGAATGCAGCAACACATCGGGAAAAATGGAAAATTTAGTTCTTTAATGACGTTATGCCCTCCAGCAGAGCTGCTCAAGGGGCCATCAAGGACCGGGGGCCATTAGTATGTCTGTTCGTACCCAGTCTTTCTATCACAGTATTCGTATCCATTATTTCTATCACCAACGCAATCTACAGTACTTGATGGTAGAAACATACAAAACCAAACATATCCTGAACCCTAGTGAGATTTTTGAAGAAAGAAATGAACATTTTGATTTGCAAATAAAAATATCTTGGCATTCCAAATGCCAGGACAACTTCTTATGGTATAGAAACTATGAGTTTTAAGGGCAAAAGCTGGGGCAAACAGTATAAGAGAGTCCCAATCATTAGCAACTTTTAAAAAAGAGTTAAGAGAACACCTTGTAAAAGTGACTTTAGATTATGTAAAATATTTATTGCTGGGTTAGGTTTTATTTAGAATATTATACCTTAAACATTGTTTTTAATTCTTTATAGATAGTTAGCCTTAATTAGCTTCTTTATAGCTATTAGACTTAGATTTAGAACGCCAACTGTAAAAAAATTACTTACTATTATATATTTTATTATATACCGTCGAGAGAAAGCGGGGGGGGGGGGGGGGGGAATTCCTGCGGCAAAGATCTCAAAAAGTTTCGCTAATGTAGAAGCTCACTTGCTCCTGTGCCACTACTTCTTCACAAGTGCCCGTGTTGTTTGTAGCCACGAGGCCAGAACTGGCTCTCGACGGGCCTCTCAATAAACCTGATTTTAATTAACCCGGTAGACACGGCGAAACTTTTGTTGCCATAATGTATATTACAGCGGCTTTCCAAATGCAGCTGTGATTAGGTGCTTTATTGTGATAGAATCCTAAATGCCACTCGTCAAGATACAGTTTCGTGTGAGCAGCATGTTGCCAGATAAGAAATCAGTGACGGACATTCATTGTCGTTCGATTCATGGACTCTGCATAATTGCTCACAGGTGCCTGAAGTTGTCTACCTTTAAATTCTTAATCAATTTTTAAACCGTATCCAGGTTGCTTTGTAAACTCATTAATCAAGTCATTCGGGATTTGATTTAGCTCCAGGCAATTTTTTCTGATCAATCGACGAACCGAAAGTGTAAATATTTCACACCAGAACTTTTAACTGATGAAATGACACTTTCCATCTTAACCGTAAAGGCCAATTTCCGTTTGAAATTTTTTATACCCGCGGGCGTAGCGCCCAAATCTGAGCATGCGTAGTTAAAATCAAGTGGTCTCGACTTTGCGTCCGCTGTGAGCGCCAGAAAGTTGATAGGGTCTCAACTTTTTTATGCGCTCGGCCACTTGGCAGCAGCACTTAACTACGCATGCTCAGATGGAAATCGACCTTAAGCGGAGACACTCTTAATTTTCGTAGCAATCAAAGACGAGATAGAATACATGGTTTTGTTACCTTTCCTTTGCTTGTCTTTGCTAAGATTTCGCCTCTCTGAGCTAGTGAGGGTGAGCACCTTTTCATTTCATTTTTAAATATTTATACAGGCTTACAGAGTTCAGTAATAAAAAAATAACTGTTTTACAAATCGACCTGTGCATAAACAGAAAAGCCTAAATTAAAGAGAATTTCAATGTACAATAAGTTAAAATCAAAAAGAGCATAATATAAATAATATAGAAATTAAATGTACCTCTCATATGGATTTTTTAAAGGTAGCAAGGGACGATGCCAATTTAGTTTCCTCATTCAGCTCATTCCATAATTTTGCTTCGCGATATGAAAATGCTTTTTGGCCTGTGCATGTTCTTAAAAGAAGTATCTGCAAGTTTGTTTCAGTAGAGCGAAGATTGCGAACACTGCCCTCTGAGCATTTGCTGAAAAGTTCTCCTAAATATTGAGGAGCAAGAGAGTTCAATGCCTTTGGGTCAGCGTTGCTGTTTCTTTTTTGATAAGATCTCTGATTTAGGGCCAGCCAAGATTTTGGAGCAGAGGGGCAGCAGGAGCATCATAAGGACTATTTGTAGTTATTCTTGCAGCTCTATTCTGGATTTTTTTAGAGAGAATTGAAGTTGGTTTCACTACAACAACCCCAAACCGAGCAGCAATAACTGAAATGTGGCTCAACAATTCCTCTATACATTTTATGCAAAACCCCTGATGAAGAAATTTCTTGGCACGCTTAATAAGACCAAGAGCTCATAGTGCCTTAGCCTTTACTTGTTCAATATGGCGATCCCATTGGAGTTCGTCATCAATTTGAACTCCCAGATACTTAGTATCGGTTATCATATTGATATTTTGTTTACCTATTTCGAAACTAGGCTCAGCTTCAGTCCGCTTTTCGATCCTTTGAATATTTGGTCTGGATCCAATAATCAAAGGCTGCGTTTTTACTACGTTTAGAGACAATTTATTTCCATGTAGCCAGTTCTGTAAATTCACAAGATCCTAGTGAAGGTGAGCACCTAATGAGAGTGAGCACCTAGTGAGGGGGAGCACCTAGTGAGGGGGAGCACCTAGTGAGGGTGTGCACCAAGTTAGGGTGAGCATCTGGTGATGGTGAGCACCTAGTGAGGGTGACCACCTAGTGAGGGTGAGCATCTGGTGATGGTGAGCACCTAGTGAGGGTGAGCACCTAGTGATGGTGAGCACCTAGTGAGGGTGAGCATCTGGTGATGGTGAGCACTAAGTGAGGGTGAGCACCAAGTTAGGGTGAGCACCAAGTGAGGGTGAGCACCTAGTGATAGTGAGCACCTAGTGAGGGTGAGCACCCTGTCGCTCGCAAGTGCTTTCTCCAAGATACTTATCGATTGCTTCTAGATTATTTGCGGAATATCCATGCTTACATATTCTTTTTGACAACGATATTTTTGTATTTTTTTCCAAATGAATGCTGTTCAGAACATCGCGTGTTGAATGTAGCTGTTCTATTTTTTATTTTCATACTTCAATGAAATATGAGTGGTATGTTTTTCTCCATAAAAAAGTCTCTTTTCATCCTTTTGTTTCTTTTTTGCCATTTTTGACTTTTATATTTATCCAAACAAGATTAGAGTCATTTATCCCATACGAGTAGATGAATTGGCTAAACTGTTGGTATCATCAACATATTCTTTGTTGCTTTATTGTCGTTATTGCCTATTTTTATATTTCGTTTTCATTAAGTGTATGTATTCTTTTGTTTTTTTCATTACGATCCAATCTTTGCTGACAAAGTGTATCTGGAACACGATTTGCTGGATGTCATATTCGCAGAAGAGCGCTCTCTTACCCTAGACGAGCAATTTCCCCAGATTCTGTCAACCAACTCCATGTCATGAGAAATAATTAATTGGCTCATCCTATCCGGATTCCCTGTGCCTGTCCTAGTCTTTGTATTTAGAGCGGGTCGAAACTGCTCCTTTTGGTCAAAACGAGCAAGAAATTTGTAGCAAACGATTAGAAGAGAAACACATTTGTCAATGTTTATCCGTTTCATTTTGGATTCGAAAACAAAGATTAAATAGCAAACAGAGTTACAGAGAATTCAAATATTTATATTTATTCATGCTATTTATCATTTAACTTTACAGATATATCTAGTAAATAAAGCTTGATATATTCAATAATAAAGCTTGATATATTCAAATCAAATATACAAGGCCACGAAAGACCAGCATCGTTGACCAAAAATTATAATTCTTAATAATCATTTTATATATGTTATCGAATGGTTATAACTACACAATAAGTAAAATGAAAAAAAAACAACAACAAGGCACTCTTAAGTTAAGAATTAATTCACTCTTGAATTAAGAGGAAAAATTGCCTTTCTGTCGGGTAAACTGCGTTATGTTTATTGCGATATTTACGTGAAATTTACGTCTCAAAGATGTTTATCTTAACACGCCATATCCTGCAGGTAGCCTATACAACGAAAACCAAGACAAAGCCTGTAGACCTATGACTCACGGTTGCTGGAAATTCTTATTTAGTCCACGCCTACAAAATCAATGAAACCAAATCAAACGTCCAGCACCCACATTTTTTGCGTGTCCAAAAGAATTCACTACGGACGTTTCTAGGTATCTGTTGCGTTGTCATTTGTAGAAGTGTTCGGGTAGACAGACCTCTAATTTTACGTTCTCAGCACATGAAGATGTTGTTGGTGTAGGGAGTGATGTATTTATCGAAAATCTTTTAATTAGCCCCTTTAATAGTTAGATGTTTTTAAGGGAGGGTGGTCTACAATAACTATCTAAAGGGTGCCATACAAATAGCTCACATTTAGAGAGGAAACATTTTTACATTGATGCTGAAAGCAAAATCATTGGTAAATTTCGTTATTCATGTTATTCATCACAGGCAAAAATCCTGTATTGTAAAATTTTATATGTTATGATACGGGTCTCTTTGAGGATAGAGGTTTGTTAACTATTTTACTTCAAGAATGGGGGGGGGGGAATTTAATCCGAGAAAGGGGAAGCTTAAATGAAGGGGAAGATATTTGAGGATTTACGGTGTAAAAGATTTTTGTTCTTGTTATATTTGTGGTGCAACAACGTATGCGATTTGGTCGGGGTAGTCCTTTCATCAAAGCTACGACCCTTATTTAAATAAAGGGCCTTTCTCGATAGCAAAAAAAACACGTTAATCCCGTCTTAGTAGGAAATTAGGAATACACAAAGCATTAAAAATTGATATACTAGCTTTGTTACATAATAAATTTCAAATCAACATTAAACGCATAACTATACAAGCGGTGAAAATATATACAGTAAGACTATAGATCCCGTTAAGGAAGCCGAATGTTTTGTCCGTCTAGTCAATTTCAAAATCAGATCACATTCTCGGTGATTTCTATACGGTTTCAAAACAGTCCGTTAATTTTCATTTCATCGTTCTATACTTTACGAATGATTATGCAATTCAGGGCGGTTCCTTTTCCCGAACAATCTAATGCTGGTTTAGTTTAAATTATTAAATAAGTAACCTTCTCTGGTGGTTTAATTTAGACCCGGAATCTAGACCTGCTGCTAAAAAACATTTCATTACAAAGTTTACGATATCCACTTTTGCAAATTCTAGATGTTTACCGACAAGTCTAAATAACGCCCCGTTTCATCTTGGTGTTCACCTTCCACTCAACGCAATTACTACGTTGGAGGTTTAACGCACAGTTCTTTTTCTAGTATCATATGAAAGGATGTTTCCCTAATGCAGAATACAGAAAACCGGCATTTTGTTAGGTTGCAAAATCTTACTAGCGGTAAACCTGCTATATTCACGGTCTTTAACTTCTCTTAACGTTCTAATTAGTCTTCATCAAACCTGACTGTGCGTTCTTTACTTTGAGTTCTTTGTCAAACCAAACACAACTTTCTCTGATAGCTTAATACCTTTTAACGATAAAAAATTTCATCGATAATTATCTTCTATTTTATTCCTAGCCACATGAAAATGTTATCGGCCTAAAAACGTACCACAGTTGGAGTGATTATTATTTATATAATCAATAGCTCCTAACTCTTAAGTTTTTTAGAATCATAAATAGATACTCAATAAAAAACAACTTGATTGACGTTTCGCTGTAAACTTCTTCAGAATTCTTCAGAAACCAAGTTGTTTTATTGAGTATTTACATATATATTTATTGTGCATATATACAAACATGTATATTTATACATACACGAACTTTCGTCTCCTATGCGGATCATATCTTGAAAATTGAAAATACCTAGAATTCATTATACAATACGCTAGAAGCTATGGTTATTGAACTCACCTCTAAATGGCTCAAAATCTATTAAACTTTCAAACATACATGCTGACGACACTCGATCTGTCGAATTCTGCTGCTCCTCTGATTTCACACTGCTGGCAATTGATGTTCTCGAACAGCTTTTCAGACCCCCATGTCTCCCGTCTCGCCGCCACGTCCTCTGCCCCTCTTGTTGCCCCATGTCATGAGTATACAGACTGGCTGATGGGGAGACATCACAATTATGGGGGTACTCCCAAAGAAGTTGTTCACTTAAACCATGGTAAGCAGCAGATAATGGGGGCAATTCGTCGTTAACGTCTGAAGGCTCTGATTTGAACCCAGTTTCGTTATCCTTATAAAACGAAGTGGCCTTGTTGTACCCTTCGGTTAAATCAGGTGGAAATATGTCCGACAAATCCCGTTCAATACAAAGATTCCGATCTCGATCTCGATTCTCGTCGTCGGGGCTGCTGGGTTTAACTCTCACATCGGAAGGATAGTGAAGAACCGGTGCTGTTGACGTGACAGTGAAGTGCTTGGCAGGAACTAGCGTTGCTTGGTTTAATTCTCGTTTTCCTTGATTGGAAGACAATATCTCTGCAGAAGAAAGATTCAAAATTTCGTGCAGACTTTGATCATCATTGCTCTTCGCTTTCACTTTAGTTTGCATCTGGCGAACCTTCTTCCTTGCTAACACTTGAATGTGGCTAGCCACTTGTTTTCGAGTCCGAATTTTCCCGGTCTTCAGATAGATGTATCGAGCTATTAGTTCATTTCTCCCATACATCTTGTCTCTTGCCGACAACATGATCTTTTGCCTTCCGCAAGGTGGATATAGTGCTAAAGCTTCCTGGAAACTTTTTTCAATTTCACCGGCCCATAAACCTTCTACCTCATTTGACATTGCTAATTTTTGAGAAATTCCAAGTGACCAATTAAAGGAGAATATGCGATAAATCAGTCCCGCATTAATTGCTCTCTCAATTAATGACAAACTGTTTGCTACTGGTCTATACCATCTACTGATAGGTTTAAGGCAAGATAATTGGCCTGACTAGAACTCATTTATACGGCGATATTGTTCGAAAGATCAATGAAGGTAGGTACCCGTTGATCCGCTTGAGCAACAGGGCAACAGTGATTTTGTGACCTTGAACAGAATACACGTAACAGGTTCACACGAGTTGTCTTTTCTGTATACGCTAGCTTATTCCAGCTCTAGTTTACTAACACTACGTGAAAATGCACCTCTTCTGGCAATAGAGCTCCCAACTCACAGTTCTAGGCTTAGTGGTATTTCCTATACGAAGAAGGCAGTTTAAACCAATATACCATAGCAAGATGCCTTTGAAACGCTCAATGTCGATCGACTTTGACAATAAGCATGCTTGCCACTATTCGTTTTTATATAAACAAATCTACTACTGTAAACATTCCACTTTTAGTGCCTTTTTAAGATCGCAAAACAGCCAAATGCAGAGCCATAAAGAGAGGCACAAAAATCGTGACAGAAATATCCCCGCAACACCTACGTGCATGTAATTGACATGCTTTATGAGCACATGTGCAGATCTTGATGCCGAACTTCAAACAAAATTATAGACCATCTCGTGGTTCTACATTTGAAACTTCTACATAGGTTCTTTGATTAGAATGAGCCTATGGTTACGGTTGTTTACAAAAAAAACGTTTGAAGACTGCCTTTCTTAAGGACATTTTTTGCTCTTCGTGATGCCGCATGCCGCACGAAGAAGTTTCGGTCACTGAACCGTTGAACTCTTTTCATGTCTTTCCATCCCCCCTTTTTCTTCGAGAAGCAAAAAAGAGGTCTGAAGCAAGTCCACCGAGCACTTTTTTCGTCGTAATTTGTACACATGTTACTGCTGTCGTGAAAATCGTTATTTTACGTTTCATGCGAAAGGCTCTTGTGTCCGTACGTACACTTGATGAGTAAATTTGCTAATGATTGCCTGTTTGGTAAGTGTTTAGGGCATAAGAAAACTGAACAGGGATCTGTTCGATAAGTTTACCTAAACATGTGACACTGAAAACTGCGTGGTTATGGTTGAGGAAAAATACTGAAAAATGCAAATTGGGCGTAATGCAATGCTTTTCTTGTAAATTGAGTACAATTTGACCTGTGCGATGCTCCTGGAAGGGGGAACGCTTGCTGGGCGTTGCGAATGAGACGCAGGCCACATGGAAATTGCGCTGCGATAAGCAAACAGAAAGACTTTGATGGTTAAAGTGATGAAATGCGTTCGGTTTATAAATATTTCTAGGAGCCAAGAGCCTTAAAGGTTGTGGTAAGATATTTTTCCATTCTAGCAGGGCCAATATCATCTCATAAATGATCCAGATAGAACGGATCTTTTCGCCCGGCCGGCAAAATGGAGCTGCTTAACATGCGCTCCTCAATTCCGGACACTTCGCCCCTGAAAGCCCACCGGTATTGCTCCTTCTAAATGGGTAAAACCTTCAAGAAAATCTTAAGGCTAGAAATTCTCAGCTCAACCTATACCATCGTATCTGGGTCTTTTAAGGTTATTGGAAATTGAATAAGTTGTTACCGAGCGAAACCTAACCTCCAGAGAAAGCTAAGGGAGCAAGCAGGCGCACTGTAAAAAATAGGCTTGTGTTTAACAGCAAAACCCTTAGAAATATTCGAGTTTAGGATCTTGCCCCCGCCTTCTATGAGCTATATTTCCTTCATTGAGAAACATTGCTACTCCCCCGCATACCTGTGACGTTCTATCATCGTTACATTGATACTGTATGCTACTGTAGGCTACGAGAAGTTTTGGAAAACATTTTGTTATCATATACAATGAAACTGTGACAAATATTTGTTTCCACGTCATAGTGTGAGCATCTGGTGGTTCTATACTTCAACCTAACAGGTCCCAATCACGCGGCAATGTAAATTACCAATGATTCCTACTTTCTGATTATCATTTAGCTCAATGAACCGAAAAATGAATTAATTCATTGCATCAGGTTAAGGTTCAAAATGAAGCGACAAAGACAAAAATTCCTAAACAAAGCAGAAGCCTTCGAAAATGGGGTAAAACATGGGGTAAACCATGGGGTAAACCAAAGGGTGCACATGCTTTCCTCTGTTCTTGCAACCGTATTTTGCTCTGTCCTATGGTCAATACAGTCTAAACTTATTCTAAAATAGACGTGCGCAGCCTGGGATTTCCAGGCCTTCATTCACAGATGGCTCTGCAGTAATCACAGCAAATGCCCGTGACCAAGACAATAGCCCAAAAGAATCCGGCTTCGAAGTAACCGGCTCCTTCAAGAAGGATTGTGACGTCACTTGATTTTCAATCATCTTCTAATCATAAAATTACACGAAATATGAGGAATCAACAATATGTAACCATTTTACTTAAACAGGTCCTTTCTGAAATCAATAGATACAATAAGTTTTGAAGAAAACAAGGGCTTTAACCAGAAAGCCAGCTCCTCCTTGCAAATATAAGGAAGGCATTAGGGGGGTGTAACTTCTCTCGGCTGCCTTGCTATTACATTTTCCATTAATTTGCTTTATTCGAATCACTAAATATCCGAACTGCTTAACAGTTTAAAATTAGGATATAATCAAAAAAGATTTTTAAAGATTGAGTCTCAAAGAATTATGACGTTAAAGAAAAATAAAGTTACGTGAAAAAAGTTTTCTATGCAGCAGCCTGGGCAGTATTATTCAAGATATGAAAAGATTAGAATAGGCCGAGAAACAGGTTGGTTCAGGTTCTCTTGCAGAGAAGATTAAAATTCCGAATGAAAGCTCCCCGTGCCCTTATTTGCATTATTCTTTCTGGTTAACAAACCATAACGCTACGTGTCTTATGCATAGTATGTTCTTCTCTACTATTTTCCGGAAATGCAATTCGCATAAATTACAAATACATCTAAAACGTACCTAAATATAAAACGACAAAGAATCGTGTTCCTTCTACACCTATAAAACGCAATCAATCTTGGTGCAAAATAGCAAGTCTGCTTAAAATTCCATTACGAGTGGGTATATCTAAGACGAAGGCAGCTCTCAGAACCTTTCTGCTTTATTCTGAAGCAAAAAATGCACCTATAAACGGAGCAGTGGGTAGCTAGTCTCGGTCTTGGTAAAAAAGCGACTAACAAAACCTCAACTTTGGCCATAGTAAGGATGTTGAACGAAGTCTCTTGCCTGGTGCCTAGCCTCTCTTTCATGAGTTAGCTGTGAAAGCTGTGATTGGTAGCGCGCTATCTGTTCTTGGAAAGTAGTCTCCTGCTCAGTGTTTTCACTCAGGCCTTGCCTCTCCATTAGATTCTGCATCTGATCGCGAATTTGCTGAATTGAGGCGTACTCCTTATCGTCCTACAAAAAACAATTTCCTCTAAAATTGTGAGCAACTAGAAAGACTAACAAAGATATTTACTCATTTATTTAAATCCTCCATCTTATGTATCTCACAATTAAAAAAATTAAATACAAAACAATATTGAAAGAAATAAAATTTTGCGAAATCCTAATTTTTTTAATCTAAAATTGGGAGTTTTTCATTATTTAATACTCAAATACTTATCTGTACGGTTTTTATGAGTATAGTTCTAGGCCGTTTAGTGAATCTTGTATCTTTAACGTTCTCATTGCCACTTTGAGGCTGATCAATTGAAAACAATATCAAGCAGTATACCTTTGCATTTCTTATTTCCAAATGAATGAGGAGGGCGGACAGGAAAATTTCTTCTCCGTAGGCGTTTTTGAGGCCAATAGAGCGGTAACCTGGAAACAAATGATAAGCAATAAAACTTTTGGCAATACCAGCGTAAATACACATAGATCCATTATCTCAAAGAAGCTTTTTGGAATATTGTTGAAAAACACCAGCAAAAAATAAGTTTGCAATTAGACACATGCGGGGTGAATCAAACAAGAAACTTCAACCAGTCACGTTTTATAAAGGTGAAATGAATCTCTTTGTTTGTAGCTTCGTGACAAGGCCAATAAAGGGGTTGCTGTACCATTGACCAAGTTACCACAGAATGGTTCAAGATGCCTGCCAGTTGTAACAGAAATAACACATTCCTTTCTATAATTCAGCGAATGCAGATGCAATTCATCGCCTTTTCTCTTGAGTAAAAAGAGGTTGTATTCAAAAGCTGGTGCCGGGCCCCAGATGTAACATGACAGACATTACGTCAGATTTGTTTTCCTTTGGGTTGCTTTCCAGTGCTACTACATTTGATCTCATAACTCTTAGTCTATGATCCAAGACAACAGCAAATACGTTTCAACCCACCAAACGTATATGCATTTTGATATTTTTCACCTTTAGCAAATACTTTTATAAAACTTCTAATTTAATATTTTTTGTAGAGGTACCTGCTTTCAAGCTTGTTAGCGGAAATACTGACTGCCCGACAAAATTGGAATCGCCAAACATATCCTCATCTTGCACGAGGAAACGAATCTTTGCGACGGGAGGACAGATGACGTCAAAATCGAATGTCTGATTCCATACTGGGTTTAAACCATTATCTCCTTTAAGAAGCAAAAATAAAACAATCAATCATAAAGGATCTATTTAGTTACAGCTTTTTTGTGACATCAAATTTCGATCTCTTGACACGCTACAAAATATTATCTAAAACAACGGATTCTCAATCCATTCTGAAAACAGATCCTACTAAGAGAATTCTGCAAAGAGGGTTTTGAGTGATTTTAAAAGGAGCCGGTTTTATCGACTCGGACATCGATCGAAACACGAAAAAATAAGATGATTGACGAAACTGTCTCTTAAAAAGGCTAGGTTTTTCCATAAATGTTCAAAATTCTACCCCACCGAAACAATCCTCGAAACCACGACAGTGTGCCTAGGTTCTCATTCGTTTCACTAATCGCTTGATTCTTCGCTTTAACCAATTGTTAATTAAAAAATTCTTATTTTTAAAAAATCAGTCATGCCTTGTATCTCCTAACTGCCCCAAAAAATCAGCTGTAAATACATACTTTTCATTACTGTTCTGAATTTGTTTGAATTGTCGTACGAATTGCCAATGACTTCAACTTCAACGAATGGCGAAGTGATGCTGCGGCCTGACTTTTGAAGATGTCGTCCTGCTAATATCTGAAAAAAAATCCTTATCAAATCATTCTTAACTTATAACAACACCTAAAACTAGAAATGAAAACTTATAATCGCACCAGAAAGGAGGTAGGCTCTTATCAAGTATCAAGAAAGAAAAAAAACAAAAAAAAACAGGAAATGAAAAGTAAATGTTATTTGGATTTTTGCTTGTAATAGTTACAATAAATGTAACAGTCTTCAGACATTTGACAGTACTGAAAGGATGTTGTAAACAAAATGCTTAGTAAGAGACGTACGGACAAGCGCAGATTCCACGGTTCAACTCCAACCAAGGTGTCCTTGTTGTGCGGATCATACCCTTCGACTCTCATGAAATCAGGCATTAGGACATAGCCACATCTAGGTATAGAATCGAAGATATATAATCAAGACAGGTGATAAATGAAGGCCATGTTTACTTGTACCTTAGATGCCAAAAATGATGAAGTAGGCAATATTGAACCATTAGGACTCGCGTCAAAGGTTTTAATTGTGCCGTAAATGTTAATTTCGAAAACATTGCCTAAAAGAAACAGGCCAGGAGAACTGAGAATCGCCAGAATTGACGGAGATATTAAAAAATGCATGCCACAAATGACACAAAGTGAGACAGGACTTTTGTTCTGCGACAACTGAACTCTAGTTTAAAGGTTCCATTTAACAAAGAATGGCGTGGTTAAATGATCGATGTCTCCCAAAGAAAATATTCTGATAATAAAAAAGCGCCAAAATTTTGATCTTATGTCCTTACGTGATATCATGTAAAGCAAGGTATGCCTTAGCTCAGAATTAGTGAGCCATAGAACACGTTTGGACTTTATGGATTCGCAAATGGCTGCTTTTTCATCTCGTGCTATCTTCCAAAAAAATCAGGCAGTGAAACAATTATGGAGGCGGAAAAAAAACTAGAGGGACGGAGTACAGAAAAACAATATACATATCGTAGATTCAGCAAGTAACTTTGTGTATTTGCCTTTTTAGTCATGATTTCTACATTGACAGCAAGTAGATTAAAACCGCACGATGTTGTAGGCTCTAGGCCACTAAAAGTAAGCGTGTATTTTAAGACGAAAATTGGATACACTAAGATACAAAATGCACCAACCCTCCATTCTCCATAAACATTCCATTGTTTATTTGCATAGGTCGATCTAAAAGTATTGTAGAAGAGTTTTCAAGACAATAATAATATCAAAAGGACATTGTTACCAAACCATCAACTTTGCATTTTTGGATAACAGCAGCACGAGGAAATATTTGCGCATAATTCAAAAGAAAAATACAAACAAGATAAGGCATGAATAACCTTTTCGATCTTTCGGTAAAAATCACAAATAGAAGCATTTCAAAACAGGGGTCTTTTTGGGTTTAGATTTTCGTTGCGAACACACATAGCATTGACTTTAGTAAAAAGGAGCTTTGTAGGGATTCTATCTTTGCCGCATAGGATGAACATATTGGGAGGTGTTAGGGACTAAAGAATAGCATACCTGGTGTTTGGTAATTCAAGGCGGCTATTTGCACCCCAAAGCTCCACATTGGCTGCGGATCATAATTTGATGAATCGACTCTTGTTCCTTTGGGGTAGACTCTGCTCATCTGTCGACTGTGGTATCTGGAAAAGCTCGCTCAGAAAAACATTACGCTTTGATTGGTGTACAAGAGGTTCTTCACTAGAAAAGTTCCTTACTAACAAGTACACACCACCCCAAGAAAACAAAAGTGTTTGGATTAATGTGCCATACCTAAAAACCACGGGTTGTAGATAAATACTAAAATTTTGCTTGCAAATCTTGCCAATTTAGCAGCAAACTTAGGGTCTCTTCTATGTTTTAATCACCCATGATAAATTTTTAGATTATTCTTAGAATAGGTGATACTTCAACAAAAATATTTTGTTCCTTAACCTGAACTCTAAATGATTAAATAATTTTGATAATATACAAAAAGGATACTTGAGCAGACGGAGGTCCTGGTTGCGACGAGTAATGAATCTTTCTATTTTCTGTTCTGGAATCGATGACATCTCATAATATTGACCCTTCTCATACTCTGTTGGAATAAGTGGGAACAATTAAATACAGCATAAACTGCCATATCTCAACATTGAAATCTATATCCCAACAAGTATGCTGAAAACCAATAAGCAAATATTCCACGCATCGCCAGCTTCCTAATGTTTTCTTCCTTTTTTCATTTGAAACGAAATAAGATAAACAAGAACGTACGATTGAATGGGACAGAGACACAGTAGATCACCAGGTCAGATAGTTCCTTCGCAATGTTTTTCTGCTCAACGAGTTCTCGAATCTTCAGCAGTGATTCTTCAGCTTGAGTTGAAGCCTCACGGATACTTTTAATCCATTCGTCAATTTCCTAAAACAAGAACGCTCTAATCTTATTTTAAATTTTTGTTTGATAAGGTAGGCGGGGGGAGGGAATTTATAAGTGGGGAGGGAATTTATAAAGAGGGGGGGGGGTTAGGAGAGCTTTTAAGGTACTCGTATCGCAGTACAGTACCATTGACTGAAGTAAAAATAAAAAAGAACTGAAAATACCTCTTCGGTCTCGGCTGCACATTCGATTAGTCCAGGGTATGATTTGATGGAAAACATTGGATTTCCAATGCGAGATGGGATTTTCTCTGGAAAGACGAACAATGAGTAGCTTATTTTAGATGGGGAATTTCAACTTTCATTAAAATGGGCATGTATAATTGCAACAGCAGAATGGAAGGATGGCTCAGCCTACGCGGACCGTCCTTCGACCATGCCGGGGAGAGCAGGCTTTGGTGTTGGTCAATAAGTGATATAAGAAAACATAAAAGAAATGTATAAAAACTTTTTCTGGGAATTCTCACTAATACTTGAAACAAATATACAGCTTTTTTTAAAAGGGAATATTTGCCATTTCTTAGAAAATTTGAAAACGCACCAAAGTATAAACCAACATTGCTTATTTTTTAAGAAGAAAGACTACCAGAATTTGCAATCTAATTTAGGCCTGATCGTAACAGCAGACATTGCAAAAAGCTGAATAAAGTAGCATGCATACCAACGACACAGCCATTGAGATCAAGAGCCCCTTGCGGCATTTCACCAAGAGGAGATTCGTTTCGTTTGTCCTGGAATGCGAAAAACAAAATGGTTGACAACTTATACATCAATCATTTCTGAAGTGAAATAGAGAAATGCAGAGGCGATGAAATCACGGGTATTGAGAAAACATGTTTGAAATTTTCAAAATTAGCGAAGAAGTTCTTACGTCTGCATCGAAAGCAGCTTGGGCTGTTTCCGGGGCTTGCTGCACTCCATTGGCTATGTTGATCTCCTCGCAAAAGGTTGCAGGAAACCACTTGTCTGTTTGCCCTCCATAGTCACCGCGCCACCTTAAAAATAACAACAAACTATTTAGAAATGTTTTCTTAAGGAGAGCACCTGATAATAAAAGGCACACTACAAGCTTTCAAAGAGCATTTTAATGTTGAGTAATCGCTTTTTTCATCCTTCGGTTTGCGACATTACCATTCAATGTTTCATCTGTGGTTGCACGTGACAGGAAATGATTTTAGTATATTTCAAACAAGCATGTTTCAATCCAAGTTATTTGCTCTCTGAGAGAGTAGCTCCTTTCAACAGAATCAGCTTCTGAAATAACTAAAACAATGTTCCCACTAAAGGTAACAGTTCTTACCATTCGCCATCATATTTAACTACGTTTGTTATGAAAGCGCCTTTGCAGAAGGTCATTTCGTCATCTTTTTGCGCGTGATAATCCCACAATGCTCTGCACACGGGCTGAAAGTAATAAGAACAAGCACACATAAGGCTTAGATAACGCATCATTGTGGAGAGGGCGGATTAAGCACACGACACTTAAAAAATGTTTGCTCTGTATACTATTTCGTTCAGGTAAAGAAAGAAAAGAAACAGAACTAGCGAAGGCATGCGATAAGTTGCCTAATGTTTGCGATTAGTTAAACAAGAAAACCTGTATAAATCAGGACTAAACGATTCAAATAAACAGCAACAGGAACGGTGGGTTTTTAAAGAAGTGAGTTATGGCTGCAAATGGCGAAGTAAAATTTTTGGCTTACAGCAAAGTTTTTGACTAAAGCAAAGTTACGTACGTTTGTCTGAAAAACATTTGGTCGGGTGTAGCACTCTCTGTATGAGTCGTCATCTGCTTCTGCGGGGGCCTTCGAGAGAAATGAACAGCGCCTTCAAAGCTGATTTGATTGATAATGAAAAATTCACAGATAAATAACATTGTATCAAAGACTGAATAAATTCGATAAATAACTGCTCGATTCTAATAAATTTGAAGAACTCACTTGTCCTTTCTTCTCCACAACCTGCGAAAATAATGCTATGAGAATTAATGTCTAGCTTTGGTTGAAAGTCATTTTGTGACACAAACCGTTTTTAAAACTAACTGAGCTGGCTACTGGCAAATAGAGGATTGAAAATGTAACATTTCAAAAATTCTTCTTAAAAACATCTTATAATTTAAGAAATTATCAGAATCCCAAAAGCTCAAAATCCTTTCACGTTTAATATTCAACCAACAAATTGTTTACCAAAACATTTGAAGGCGAATGTCGTGTTAAACGGCTAACCTTTGGAGCTTTAGGTAACTTACGATTGGTCAGTGGTGCGTCACGTGTCTTGACCGAGTTTTCAAGGTGACAATACAGTGAAAGGGATGTTACACTAGACTAGAAACGGAAATGATAACAAAGGGAATACAAAAACGGTACCTCTTGATTACATGGATATCTCAGCTTGGTTTTTCTGAACAACGGGTATTTCTCGTAGTATCCCACCAGTTCAACAAGGCTTTCGAACTGGGCTGTTCCGATTGTAAATAACCGACCTTCCCGTTTTATGAAGCAGTGCTTTACTTTCCCGCCAGTTCTGGAATTCAAAACAAGAACTTATACCAAACTGTCTCTAAAACAGCAAAATTTCGATAATTTTGTTCGGAATTCCATTTCAGGCAAGAGCTTCCATTAACGAACCTCAAAATATTGATTGCCTTGAAGTTGCCTTCTTTACAATGGCCGTTCGCTAAGCCATGAAGCATGTATGACGTGAATCATGTCATTTTACACAGTCTTAGATACAAAGCCGAATAGCAAGAATGACAGGATAATCTTTGCTTGAAAGCATTACCTGAAAGAAATGGCATAGGACTCTTTGTCGTCGTCTCTCTTCCGAACCAGAAAGTAGCCATCTTTTTGTAGCCTCTTCAGCATGTCTTCTGCCTGCTGTCTTGTGAGATTTTCATGATACCAACTGCAATAAAATAGAATGCAGATTTGCAAATCAACTGAGCAGATTGCAAATCAATTGAATGGATTAAAAATCAAATTTACGTGTTAAAGAAGATTGTAACAAAAAATACGCAGTTGAGAAAACTGGACCTAACAATTAGGAAGCTAAAGGTACAAGTATTGAATTTGAATAAACAAAATTTTCCAATATGGATGCTACCAGGCCTATTCGATACAGTGTCCATCAGTAAATGTTTCTTACATTTCAAAGTATCGGTTTCGCTGGGAATATTTCAAGTCTGAAATTTAACTTAGGATAACGTGATACAAAGGAGACATTACAGTGGCATTTTGCAACGCGACCTTGATAAATAGAACGAAAAGTTGACATAACAAATGAAAGAAAGAAAGAAAGGGTTCTCTTACTCTTTTTCTAAATGAGCGTTTGGCTAAAAAGGAGAAAAACAACATTAGATCATCTTACTAAGATTTTCACCTCTCACGTATAATCACATATAATCGCGTATAATCGCATATTCACATATAATCGCGTATAATCGCATATTCACATATAATCACGTAAAACATCAGATTATTAATAGGGCCAGGCGGGAAGACTCAGGTGAAGTCAACACTGCTTAACTAGCGATGACATAATACATACAATCAAACATAAATAGATAGAGCTTCGTCTATTTCTCTACAAGTTTCTTATACCGATTACAGAACACATAATTTTTTAAACCATGTTGTTCCTAAATTAAAAACCTTAGAAATCAAGTCACGAAATTTTCTTCTACACCTTGGTTTTTTTGAAATATGAATAATGCATATTTTTATTAAGTTATTCAGGGTTTGGCTGTAGACAACACATCGCAATAATGACCATACATTGCTATACCAAAGTATTATTCTTATTATCATAATCGGCCTGAAATCATTATAGCTAAAGACAGCAAAATTATTCCAGATAGAACTGAAAGGTTAATTCAAGCATACTTACCTGTGGTATTGGTTCACCAAGAACCAATTCAAACTTTTCGCTTTTGAGAGGATGCATTTGGTAATGTGTTATCAAACTGTAAAGACTGTCAAATGTAAGCTGTTCAACAAGAAAGTATTTAGATAAGCCACTCTCTTGCCTTGATTTTATGTGACAATGTTGAACTCTATTTTGGTACCTAAGAAAAGATACAGGCGTTAATAAGCTATATGGCAGCCCATAAATCGGTTTAAAATCGCATACTTCGAAACACAATTCACAGTTACGACCAACGTAAAGATAATAAATTTGATCAGGTTGTCGAATCCCTGAAGTCTAGACCGTTGAATCATAGTGCAGTTTAGCCTATACGGCAAAGTTGCCCTCTAGGCCACCAAACCAAAAACTTTTAGCAAAAAGAAACCCCAGAGGCATTAGATGGTGCGCACCCAAGCTTACACCAGCAAGATAGGAAACCACGTCCAGAATCTACTATGATATCCTTAGGCTAAATCCGGAATTTTTCATTCCTAAATTGTGTTCATTTATTTTGTTCAAATTAAAATTGGAGTTGCAAAACTCGTGGTGCTAGCTTTTCTAGTCTTCTCAAATCTTCCCAGATAGAAATTATCGACGAAGACAAAGGATACATACACGAAGGAAAGTGAGTAATCTCCGACGAACATATTACTTTCTCTAACCAGAAACGATCCGTCCCCTCGTTGGTAATCCATCAAAAGCTGTTCAGCAGTGCGTCGCACGATTTTTCCATGAAACCATCTACAAACAAAGGCGTCAGCTCTTGACAAAGCAAATTACACATAAACTATACATCCATTCATGAATATTTAGATCACTTCCTAAACTACTTTCAGCATTTTGAAGTACTCATCGAAGTACTACTTGCAGCATAAAACAGTTAAATACCTAAAGTAAACCAGTTTTCGTTGCCAAATGTATATATAGCGTTCAGTTGTATGCAGGACCGGGTTACTGAAGAAAATTGAAAAAATTGCAATCGAAGGAAAGAGTAAAACACATACTTCTCATCAAAATGCAAATCTTCTTGCGCTACCTAAAAGGACGAGTTTCTCATGAATTTTAGATAATCTTGAAAAATCTTCTATTAGACACGGCAATAAAAAAGGATTAGAAACCACGCAAAGGGTTTATTCTTTGAAATAAAGTAGTTCGAAAAAAAATTCTGATCATTCTTACATCGACCCGATTTTGTCTGTCCTCGCCTCCTTCTTCTTCTTCATCATCATCATCACGAGGTTTCTCTTGCTCCTCCGTATAGTAAAGCTTATTTGGGGTCAGAACAAAAAGATGGCGGTACCATTTCTAGGATGAACACAACAAAGAAACAATCAAAGGGGCCTAGCTTTTCGTACGGAAATTCGGTAGAGGAGTTGTTTAATCAAAAAATGAAGAAAATCAAAACAATCAAATTAGAAAATCTTGTGATTATTGGGGGGAATGGGTACTTCATGAAAAAGTAATAAAGGAAGGAGGCACGTCATGATTTATTGAACATTGGATTAAAAGGTATGCACATCATTCCACATAGAAACATTCTCATGAACCCTTTTGTGACTTTTTTAAATTGATATACATGTTGTAATTGTTTCGTTTGATTCAAAATCTGAATAGTATGATTGGAATGTATGACTTACATGATCAGCATCATCTTCCAGGTATAAAGGTCCGCATTTTAGCCTTGTTATATTGTCTTCGGGTGCTTTTTAAAGAGTAAATTTAAATGATAACAAAGGCCACAAAATGAAATCAGATAATAAAATGATTCAAGTTTGGTAAATGATTCTTGAAACCTAAAAATTATGGCATTGATAGCCTTAATTTCGAAACCATATTAAACACTGTAATTTTATTTGCTTACAGTTACAGGCATTTTGTCGGAGGGGAGTGGGGGGAGGGGGCATACCACTTCATGCAAATCTCGTATGCCTTTTGCAAAAAAACTTTTAATTTTCGAGAAAATCCCCAAAAATCCATAAAAACCTTATGTTCTAAAATATCTTTTACACTGCTTGGAAACAATTGTACAGCTCTCAAATTTTGCTAAGAGCTTGAAAAATAAAACAAATCATTTTCAAATACACAAAGTGTTATGTGAAAAACAAATTAGCTGCCATTGAAAACTACCTATTTCTCCAGAAACACTGAGCTTGCTGTTGCCACCTCCAGGAACCAATTTTTTGAACTAAAAAAGAAAGGTCTTACTATTTCTGCGACAAACAGACAACCAAATAACAGTTAAATAGCTTAATATTTTGTCATGTGGTAAGTAAAATAACTTCTGACCACATTAACCTTTGCAGAGCTTATTCAATAAAACCAGAATTGTATTCAATTTGATTCAAACCAACACCCAATTCTTTAGCATGAAAGATATCAGTATTACCAAATTATAACATCCTATTGGATCATCCAGAAACATCAAGAAAAAAAATTCTATTGGATCAAAATCATACATTTCCGACAAGCGATGCTTGAATGGACCCTTTTAGATAAATCTGAACATGTATGGATAGTTTATCAATCCTCCCCATCCCCCTACCGAGGTCTACTAATTGACAAAATAGGTGAATTTGGCTGCACCATCGAAATATTCCTTTCCCACATAATGCCAGATTTAACCCGCAACGTTTACAGAAAAGAAGGAATAGCAAAAGTACTTATTAAAACCAAATAAGTTTGTTCCGGTCAATTAGTTCCAAATGAAAGAATGAAAATTAGCTGCAACAGATCGTTGAACAAATCATAAAATAAAATACGTGTTGCTCATGGTGAACAGGTGTTTCTCGTACTTGGCGATTCACCAGTAAGCAAGAGAACACGCTTTTATGCTGAAAAACCTGTAGGTTAATTTACTTTCAAAATGACTTTCTTCTTCAACTGATCTGGGGATGGCAAGAGTGTAGCACTCGGATCAACAGATGCCGTCAGGAAGTTATCTGGAAAGAAATAATCAATATTTTCTTAAACACCCGAGCAAGAAGCATAATTAGAGCGTCCGATGCCAGTTGGAGGCAGGACCTTGGAAACCATGCATAGGTCGCCTTAGCGGCATTCCGCTCATACATTTTCTTCTTGTTCTTTATGATATGAATGCTGAATCGCTATCTTTACAATTTCTATTACTCAAGAATAGGGTGCATGGAAGAGATGCTGGAAATGAACTTAGAATGGAGGCGAGAGGGGAATTTCAATAGGAGACTGTGTGGAGGCTGGGAGGGATGGTGGGAAGGATGGTAGAAGGGAGGCTGGGAAGAATGGTGGACGGGAGGCTGGGAGAGATGGTGGAAGGGAGGTCGGGATGGATGGTAGAAGGGAGGCTGGGAAAAATGTTGGACGGGAGGCTGGGAGAGATGGTGGGAAGGATGGTGGAAGGGAGACTGGGAGGGATGATGGGCGGGATGGTTAAAGGGAGGCTGGGAAGAATGGTGGATGGGAGGCTAGGAGGGATGGTGGAAGGGAGGCCGGGATGGATGGTGAAAGGGAGACTGGGAAGAATGCTGGACGGGAGGCTGAGAGAGATGGTGGGAAGGATGATGGAAGGGAGGCTGGGAGGGATGATGGGCGGGATGATAGAAGGGAGTCTGGGAAGAATGGTGGATGGGAGGCTAGGAGGGATGGTGGAAGGGGGCCGGGAAGGGAGACTGGGAGGTAGGCATAGTAGGAGGCTGAGAAAGGCTGTATGGTAATCTAGAAGGAAGGCTGGAAGATAGTTTAGAAGGGAGGTTGGGTGCTTTCAATGAGTTAATAAACATTAAGTAGAAAAGGTTAAGTTCAAATTGGCATTGAGCATTTATGTTAAATTATTTGACTGAAAATAAGTCAATTTGATATCAAAGAAAGGCCCAATATTTGAATAGTTTTATCAAACCATAGATTTATTCACGTTTTCAGCAAACAATGTATTAAATTTTTACAGCCAAAATAGTTTAAATACATATTTTGAATACGATATGTTCAATTTTCTAAACACACGAATGGAAACAGGACCTAACAGGAAATAACAAATCTAACATTTTGTGAAACAACATAATGGCAGAAGAAAACAGGACAAAACAGCAAAATTCAAAATTAAACGAAACATACTTCCAAAGTGCTCTTTAAAATAACTGGCGATCATTTGTTGCTGTGGTAACGAGCAGTGGTTTTCAAGTGAGATTATCAGAGGGTAGCTGAAACGAAAAAGACCATAAAAAACTGCCAGTCATTTGGTCATTTTGATGGAATAGAAAAAAGAAGCAAAAAAGTTTTGGGGTTGTGTTTTATATATGTAGCAACAACATTTTACTCACTCTGTTTTTATGAATGCATTTTTAGCAACTGCCTTTACGACATCGATAAGCTTTATTTTTGTAGTTAAGGTCATTCCATGGTAAACGATTGGCTTACCATTGCCATCCCAGCAGTCCACTGCAATCAACAACAGCAACAATACATCAATACTTGATGTTGGTATATTTGAATACAGGGGTTTACAAAAATGATCATATTTCTACATCTTTCCCAATTAAACATAATCCTCTACTAAATACGAAACCTTGCTTTTGGGAGAACTTTTTACAAAAATATTGTTTTACATATGAAAGTAACTTGGAACGAAACAAATGGAAAATGGTAAATTAACAGAACAAACACACGCTTGAAAACAATGCGTGCTGTTACGATCAAATTATGACAATGCTCAGGGTAATCAAAATCAGTGAAAATGAAGCAAAACTCTTCGTTACATTCAATACATCTGCACCCCATCCTCAGACATCGAATGTAGGCCTCAATTGACGACTCTGACTGCAGTTGGCCACCAGTGAGGTATCTGCAATTTAGAAATTGACTTAACATTGATGCGTTAAAGGTCACATCTTGCAGCTTCCGACTCCTATTAAATAGAATGTTTCCTCTTTTGCCATTGGAGAAAAAGAATTCTTACCAATTCAAATATATTCTTTTCAGAACAACAGTTTGAATTCTCATATGGTGAACTACAATTATGATAAAGCCCAATAAAAAGTTTTATGAAATGTTTACAAAACTCGATAAAAAGCTTTGAACCAAAACAGTTTCGCAAAATTTATTGTATTGTGTAATGAATTCCAAGAGAAAAACAAATTTTGTATGACGTACGTGTTGTGTGACGATGCAATCCAGTAGTAGTTAAGAGGTTTTGTCATGTCTTGATAAACTTTATTGTGTTCCTCGTTGAATATTTCATTGTATGAGCTGAACAAATAGTCCAAGAACTGCAGAAAAACCAAAATCGAATCACTTATATTCCAAGAAACACTACACAGAACCAATTTAAACGCATAGAAGGGTATCAAGGTGCCCACTCAAATTTTTGATTGCGAGAGATAATGCCACTTGAAAGCATCAATACCATTGACGGAATTGATTTTCAAATCATCCCAGGTAAAACCAAGAAAGATGGTAAATAGGAAGCAAGTAAAAAAATCGTTACAAAAGTCTCGTTTAGAGGGGTTTTTACAGGGGGTAGGTAGGGAAAATCTTTGGTCCTAATGATCGCTACTTTGGCCCCTTACTGAATTGTTGGCATTCAGTTTTCATCCTGTCTCAAATTCAGTTTTATATATGGTTGGAGCTGCGAATAACTTTTGTGGTCATTGATAAACGGCAAATCAATGACATATCAACGACAATACCTCTTCTAGGCAAAACACGGACACAAAGCGTTTTCTCATTGGTTACATCATCCGTTAAACATATACTTCAATTCATTTTATCTGAGGTTTTAAGAATATGTCTAGCATTGAAAAAATGTACCATAATGTAAGGAATTTTCACGGTAGTCAATCGGAAGTCAATTAATGACGAGCAAAATCTCTGGCCATAACAAATCAGAAAATTTTCAGGAAGAAAAGCCTATGCGGTTTGACCGATAGCTGAAAAGATATTACGCAGGTTTCAGTCTGAAGGTTAGAGCAAGGTTGTGGTGGGTGATGATAATGCAAGAAATGCAAAATCTGATCCTTCTGTCTGCTCAACAGGTGAATTTAAAAGGGACACATAATTATGATAGACAAAGAATTTAAAATTTATTCAACCGTCTATTTAAGAATATTCATTTTCAAAATCAGAAACACAGTGACAATCTATGAGAAACAACAATTGGAAGTTGACTTACACATAAATGCTACAAAACTCTTCATGATTTGGCCCAAATACGGTATAGACATATAACTAAGGTCTTTACACATACAAGCTATTGTGTACCTGTAATGTAGTAAAGTACAGGACAGATGTATCATGAGTAGTTTCTTCAGGTAAAACGCTCTTCATCAGATCATGTACGTAGGTTAAGTATTGAGCCTTTTGATCCTGAAAACAAAGGAAATTGTGTCGATAGAGATTCAACAGCATAACACTTTATTTTCTCTAGCGAAGCAAAGTATTCCTCAACTGCTTCATCTTCATCTTCAATTTGCTAGGGTGCTGTTACATACAAACGAAAAATCTTAAAATTGCAATTACATAAGATATTTCAACTATACCTATTTGATTTGCAACGGAACGAAACATAATCAAATGGTACAAAATAGATAACATTTCCCTGTACTTAAACACGGCTTAATGTACGATTTTGTTACTACAATCAGCAAGTCATATTTGGCCGCAAAAAAACTTAAAATATTAAATCCGGATGAAAAAGCCCAGTATGAGCCATGTGGCTAGAATCCTTACTTTTTGCTCCTCAATCAAAAATCTTTGGAACTGTGCTGCAGTCATATAAGACCTAGTTAAAGTGAAACACAAAGGGAATATTAGAATTAAACAAGCTTTAGATTTAGTTAGTGCACAGCTAACTTTAAAAACATTTGCAAGGTTTAAAGATTTAAGAAATTTCGATCCAGCTTTTAACATGATCACTGGAAATGACACTGAAAAGTAAGAGCACAGCAAGAAAGCTTGTATTTTTAATTACGAAGACAAAAACCATGTAGTCAGACAATCTTAAAAAGCATTTGCTTTCAAGCCATAGCCTTCCGTCCACACAGTTCGTAATTATCCACCTTTTATTGCCTTTTATGCCGTATTGGCTTGCTAGAAGGTGATTAATTCTGTTCGACATTATGGCCACTAATTAAAGTACACAGGGTTTAGGATTTTGAATTATTGGCGAAAAAGAAATAACATAGAAACAAATGAAGTCAAAATAAACAAAATTAATGTTGTTGAAAGAAATAATTCTTCAAACCCCTCATCGCTGCGGATAAAGTAGTCTTGAAAACGATCCCCAATCTAAAAGCAAAATGATATCGAGGGTAAAACGTGGAAAAACATAATTTCCATAAAAATGCTGCCAGTTTAGTTTGATTTCGCAAACAGTGAGAAGAAAATTTTGACAAACCTTGACAAACGAAGTTGTTGAATTTACGCATTCTTAATTTGATTCAAAATTATATGATTTTGAAGACATACTGCAAAATGTTGCTATCAATGGGTGAAACAATGTTTGCTAGCAAATGTCAAGTGATAAATTAGGGGAAAAGCACCAAGATTAATGCGTTAAAAAGAATATTCATAAACTGAAACAAATAAAAACATTTTATCACGTATTTTCTGTCTCGGCCCTTACTAGACCAACACGACAATGAAAGGCCGGAAAAAAATATACTTGAGGTCTCTTGTTTGGATAGAAATACAGGAAACATGAGGGCTTATTAATGGCAAGTCTGTTCGGTTCTTTCACAACAGCTGGGCTAAGCAGGAGAAAATATTTTCATAAGAATATAAAGTGTTTTATATGAATCAACTAATTTGTTGGGCATTTTAGGTTTGACACACAGATGCTATCTGCCAATGTAGCACTTACATACATTGAGTGAATCTCACATATAATGATTTATATTACAAAATAAAAACATACACTTGTGGAGAACATCAGTGATCTATATGCTTTGTAAAATCCAGTTGCATCCATATTTCCCTTTTTGTCTTCAATAGAATCCTAAAACACATTAAAATGCATGAAATAATCAGTGATAAAGTCACATATCCACCAATAACACAACAGATTTCAATGATAGGCGCTTCAAAATTCAAACCTATATTTTTGGGGTAAAAAAAGAGCTACCAGCAACAACTTTCATTTGAGGTTACATTTACACAAAACACTCAGGTGTGACTATACACAAAAATCGTATTTGAAACTCCCAATACAATGTATTGAAAGGGAAAATTTAATTAGCCAAGGCTCAAAAAACTTTTTCGAAGGAGGTACCATCCATACGCAGGTAGAAAAACTGCGCGAACAAGTATAATCTACAAAAAATTTCGAATTTAAAGGCAATGCCTTGTTAACTGTAGCCATTTTGTGTATTTTCAAAAATGCATTTCTTCATGAGACGGACTTTGGCATCAAAAATTTTGCAGAATAAAGCGTTTCCTCTGCAAAAAGTTTTGCCTGTAAATCATAATAACTAAACAAAATAGCTTATGTTTCTTAGAAACCTGACTAACTAAACACTATTGTTCACTGTATTAGACATTGGTATTGAAAGAACCAATTGTTTTGAGAGTATCAGATGTAGATCCTTATCAGAGCCAAAAAAATCATCGCCAGCATCAATACTACAAAAAAATCAGTTTTGGGCATAGAAGAGTATGCAAGCCTGCAAGCACCTGCCCAGATTAAATTTTAAGAGTGATGATAGATTGTAAATAACATTACAATTTTTCTCTTTATTTACCAATATTCTGCTATGAAACTGTGATAACTTGCAAGTAACAAAGCACAGCATATGGGAATTAACCTGAAATCAACCTAATGTAACTGAAACTTTCAACAATGAAAAAGAATTGCTTCACAAAGATGTGGTGGATTTTAAGAAAAAAAATTTTTTACTTTGGTTTTTTATACAAGCAATTGGCTAACATTGATTAAGATTTGCACAATGTATCTTCTGTCCTATGTCATAACTTTCGAGACTGAATTTCCTGTTAAATGATATTTTGACACAAATGAAATAATAATAGAATAATTATTTCAAAGGAATAGATGCTGGTAAAAAGAATTACCTGATAATGCTTCTTGACTTTGTTGTTAGGCAGTCTTATATTTGCTCTTTGTAAAAATGCTTTATACTCTCTTAAGCTCATCCTGTAGAGAAGAGACACATACATAACTGGATGACAAAGTAATCCATTGATCAATAACAATAAACAGCAAATTGCTTGAGTGATCAATAGCTTGCATGAGTGCAGACCTGCTGCTTGTGAACATCAAGTATCCTTTAATTGCCTTCATGGAAGCAATCTTGTCTCTTCAGTTGAACATTTTTTCATTCAGAGTAAATGGTTTACTTTACTTGGATTAGCCTAATCAAATTAAAATTTTTTTTTTTGCAACTCTAACTATATTTTAATTGATAGCCCAAAACTCTATACTAATATATTTACCAAATGTTCTAATTCTATACTTTAAAGTATTTAGGAAAGGGTATTGTAAAGTCTTTCCATCACTGCAAAGCCTTTGGGAGTAAACGGTTGAAGATTGATAACAGCCCCTAAATTGATTAAACATCTTAGAACTCAATAGAACTAAACAACATTTAGATAAAAACTTTTTCTAAAGTTGAGAATCATACTTTTCCATATCTGATCTTGGAATGCTGTTCCATTCTCTATGAAGCCATCTGAGGAAAAAACAAGAGCTTGCAAAGACTTATCTGATATAATTAAATATAATTAATAATTAGTTCAACATAAAATCATTTCATAGCCTTTGTCCATAAACAGGCATTGTGCACCTTTCACCAATTTTGAAGTAAGTGCTCTCTTACAAAGGGATTTAAGTAAAATCTTACAAATTTTATTTTCTTGTAAATTTTTAGCAATGCAAGTCTGTTGTTTTATAAGAGAAAGGAAAGCACACTTCAAATGAATCAAACGATCCACATGAAAAATAAAAAGCATGAACAGAAACTACTTAAAGTTACTGCAAAGATGTGGAAAACAAGAAAGTAATTTAGAACTGGGGTGATGTCTAGGTGTCTATAAAACAATTTTCATTGGGCAACAAAAATTGTTTGCTTTATTAGCTGTTAAAGCATTTTTTGCAGCAATTTCTTATATCAAATCGGAATGCAAACTTTTAAATTTGACATCTGTCGTATAAACCAAAACCAAATGATATTTATTACCTTGCAATTAAAATTGAAGGCCTTTCATACTCATTCTTCCATTTCAATAGGATAAGACCTTTAACCCAGCATTCCTTCTCATTTCCATTTTGTGCTTCAATTTAATCAAATTGTTACGTTAACTATTAATCAAAAAATTAATCATAATTGATGACAATAAGGCAACACAAAATATGTCTTTAAAATTGAAATGCCACCTGGTTTTAATTCTTACTTTACAAGTTAAAATTGATTACAAGTATTTGATAAAGTTCAATCTTGATGGGAAAACAAGTGAAATCTTTTGTGTATAGAGTAATGATACTAATTCTGTTTTGAAAAGGAAACCTAAAGACATCATCAATTAATTATGAGAAAAAATATCAACAAAACCCAAAAATGTGTGGCATTATGTGTTCCTTTTCAACAATGAAATGGTTAAACAAACATTGGAAACAAATGCAGTAATGTTGAATAAACATTGCAACCAAAGTCAGACTTCTATTTGCACATTCCTAGACACATTTTTCAGATGATCTGGGAATAATTTAATTCAAAAATGTGTCAATACATCAATTATTTCATTAAATTAAGAATAATAGAAAAATCCTTTATAATCTTGAACAACAATTATATCTTTCATAATTTTGATATCTTTATGCTTTCCAGAAATACATTGGTTTGAAATGTAACTGACCTAGGCATGATAAGGTCTTCAATTTGAAACTACTTCCATAGACCACAACAAAGCAACAATTTGGATCAATTCTTCTCAGGAGATCAGCTTGCCTCTGGAAATCTTTTGAGGAGCATCCTCTCCTTATTTCTTTGATTTCTTCGATATATACTACAAATAATATAAACAAATCGACTACAAAGTTCAGGTTTCAACCAAAAAGGTGTCTAAAACGTTACTTAACAGGCATAAATTTTATGAGGAAATAAAAATTATGGAGGAAATTCTGGGCCCATTTGGCAGGTTACATTGCAAAAAGAAACAAAGATAAATATCGGCCGGAAAAGCAAATCTCTTTCAAATTTTGGATTAAATTTATGGGAAGAATAGGTTGGAGAAGTCGCTAAACAGGAAATGAATTAACCAGACGAGATCAATAATCGGATTCATAACGTACTCGATTCTTCCTCCTTGCTTCCAGCTCCACGGAACCAAGAAATCTTAAATTCTTTCAGATTCAGCTGAAAAGTTCTCTGCTCTGGTCTTCCTTTAGCTCTTGATGGTAACTTAGTCATTGTTGTTCCAATAGTTAGAGCGGTCATGATTGCAGCAATCTCCGCTGCATCAACAACATGGTCTTCCGCCATTTTTGTGATTAACAGTCCTCGATAACTTCCAATTGCTTGAGTTCTGTCTACATTATAATTAAAGTCATATTTCCACCATCTTGTATGATAGGTCTTGTTTTTGGCACACTTTAACCCTTTTGGCCTGACTTCCCTTGAACAGAGCTGGCGCTGCAAAACATCTTCACTGTCGACTTCGGACACCTATTTCCACGAACAGCAGGTACTGCGGTGGAGCACAGCGAGCCAACTAAGTAAATACTTTCAAGAATTAGATTTTGTTTGAATTGGGGTGTTTGGTCAATTTGAAAAAATCGTTTTGGAGATGTTAAATCAACGTAAGTAAATCATGTAAATCCAGGGCCGCCGGAGCCACGGTGGCCACGAGGGCACAAGCCTCTCTGTTTGCAAAAAGTATAAACAAGTGCCCCTTTTCGAAAAATATATATTGCGAATTTTTTTTCACTTCCAGACATTATGCGTTTAGAAGCTAAATAAAATACCATAACTCTGGGCAGTGTTGGAATGCCATTCACTGAAATTTCTTTAAATTTAAACTTGGTCTTGATGCAAAAGGCGCGAGCTCCTGTGATGAACAATATCAACTGCGAAGGAGACTGCCAGTTTCATGAGAAAATTTCCTTAGTATGTCTTCAGCAACAAACGCATTAGTGAAAGGTCCGCATCAAGTCCCCAGCGGGCAGGGGCGTTGTGTCGAATGAATTCTAGAGGGGGCAAAAGGAAAAAATTTCCGACAAAGTTTCTTTGATTTATTCAATCAAATGGAAGCATTTAATATTAGTGTAGGAGAGAAAAACACATAACTTTTGACTTGGCTGGAAAGATACTTAAAATGCACAATTTTGTCTCTGTTTCTTCATACTGTGAAGTCCCTGACACCTGTACCTCAGTACAAGGGTAGAATGAAGTTACTACCTTAAGCAATATAACTGCATAAATTTTCAAATCTAGGACAAAATTTTCACAAATCTGGTGATAGGCACAAAATTGGCACTGTACCGGTCTTCAAAAGCAAATAAAGATATAATTTATGACCAATATTGAACAATTTCTGTAACCAAATATAGTATTTTCTTTTCAAAAGTGAATTGCCCCTCGAAATTACGATAAGTATTTTAGTACAAGTAATTTATGTTGCTAAAAGTTTGAGAATTACCCACAACTCAAGTCTGAGAATTTTCCGACAAAACAATGGTTTTTCCGAAAATCCGTAAAATTTTGAAATTTTACAAAAAATCTTAAATTTATTTTCTAGGATTAGAGCAATATATAAGACTATATGATACTGCAAATTATTTGTACTTCAATATGCCATCGATTTACCTAAAAAATTATCTGTAACATAATATCCGTAAATTCCTGCCCTTTTGTGTTTCCTCTAAATGATTAAAAAGCAACCCTATTTTCAAGATTCTATGTCCCAGAATTCTAGCTTTCAGACCACTATTTCTCGGAGTTTTTCGGAAATCGCATGTAATACGCTAGACCAACTGACTGAGCCCACCAGGATCAAATCTAAGGAGAGTTAAAAACTTGTTTCGTTCATAAGATTGATGAGAATCAAATTTGCTATGGCAGAGAAGAATGTGCCCGCACCTTCAGCCAATTGCGTGAAGATGACTTAAACATAAAATTTTGTAGCTTTTAAAAAATAGTCTTATGGAGGCGAACAAATCTATGCGGTGATTGGCAAGCGCAGATTCCAAGGGGGACTAAATTGTTTAAGAACAAATATAACAAAGTTAAAATGAGTATTCGAATATTCGAAAATAAGTACCGCGTAGAAAGATTTACACTCTCAAAAAACTTTGAAGGCGATGAGATGGGAAGCTATACAATTAATTATGATCAAGAGTGCGTGGTCCCTAAATGGAGTAAATAACCATGTCTAGTTTTAGCGAGGATAGTTCTCACAACGCCCAAAGTGTGTAATTATTTTATAAATGTCTAAATGATCATGAAGTCTGTACCATTTTTAGCACTCATTATAGTTTTGGAAAAAAACTTCGTGCCCTTTTTATTCGTTTTGCCCACCCCTGTTCAAACCTGCGTCCGGCGGCCCTGAAATCATGTATGTAAATCAGCGTGTAGCCCCCGGGAATTTTTCATAGGCCACGCCCTTGGGATTGGCAGAGATCACACCAGGGGTGGTCTGGCCAGGGTGGCAAAGTGGCGATCGCCCTGTGTACAAAAAATTTACGAGCCTCCTTTTCAAGATTTCAAGTTCATAGAATGTCAGAATTGCTGGCATTTGCAAATTGCTACCAGCAGCTTATCGTTCAAATGAAAACAACAACTGGTGCAAATGGAGATCCTGAAAAAGATTATTTCAAGGAACAAGCTCTTAGAGAAGAAACATATAGAGGAGAAAACTGTGACTTTCAAGGTGGGGATTCGCAAAGAAAAAGAGGACTGAAAAGGCGACATCTACACCCATAGGATCACATATAGGTTTCTGTTTTGAAACCAACAATTTCGTGCATCGTGTATGTGGGATTTTGGTTGATTATTTTTCGGTGGAAAAAATTTCGATCATATTTTTCAAATTTCGGTGTAAATTTCTGTGAGAACTTTGACAATCTTGGTGGAAAGAAATATTTTCGGTGAGTAAAGAAATGAAGCACTTCCTGTAAGCTTTTTCTTTCCTCAACATAAAATTTTCTGGAACAAAATCATGAATGTCAGCCCAATGAATGGAACTGAATAGTAGGTATGAATGTCATAAACTTTTATTTAGAGGAGGTATTTTTCATTTCATTTTTATAGCCCATCAAGCAAAATTAATTGGAGTCGTTTACAGTTCGCAATATTTTCGATCGCCTATCGCAACGAGGGGATTAGAAATTCCGATCGATTTAGATTTAAAAATTGAGGCGTCGGAATTGAAACTGCTGGAACGTAAGAAAGAAATAATCATCAGAAAATATGAAGAGACAGAAGCGAACTCATCATAGCGAACTCAAATATCTTAGATATAGAGGGCGAAAGAATAGAAAGTTAAGATGATTTGGGTATCTTATTTGTTGATGATGAAGGTGAGCCAAAAGTTGAAAAATTAAATGTATTGGATGTAAAATCAATGTTCAGGAACTTTTTTGTTAGTTTGAAAGTCTATCAGTGTAAAATGAGATTTTTCTAGAGACTGAAAATTTCGGTAAAAAAGTTTGGTGTCAAAAAAATTCGACGGGGTTAATTTTTCAGTTTCCCGGCTTCACCGAAAATAAATCCCAACGAAATTTAATGTAATTATACTACCTCAGCATCAATTGTCTTTCTATATCCATAATTTCTTTATCCCAATAGGTGTTTGTTTAATTCGAAAGCCATTTTTATTATCCTTTTTGTGATTCATCATTTAAACTTTTGTTTTTTCTCTTCAAAATTTTTCCTAAGTTTTTGCTCATTAACGTAAAATTTAAGAAATGCACAGGTTTTTCTTTAGAACTGCACAAAATAATTTTTGACCTGCACATTTTGTGTCGAACTACACATTCTTGACAGAAAATACACAGAAAAAATTCTTGACAGAAATTAATGCTGTAGCTGAATGTAGTGAGTTGCATGCTCTAGAAATTTCTTTCTCTACAGTGCGAAACCTTAACCATCTGAACCAAGCGGCTAAACAAACTCCCTTCTGATGCTCCTATACACAGTGTATGCAAATGTAGCGAAGGTTTCTGTAGTGCTTTTATCTTTTACCAAAATTTTATTTTAACATTATGATGCAACTATTAACATTATTACTTGTTGACAGTTTTTTTCTTTCTTTATTTAAAGTTGGTACAATTTCCAGCTATGCATACATGCTAATTGAAACCAACTAATTTAAATTACCAACGCTAAATATAATATAAATCAAATATAACCGATGTTGCTAAAATATTCCTTGCAAAGATTACAAGTACAATTAAACGATGTAAATTCTGAGATTTTTTTCTTGAATATTGATAAAGTAAAGGAGTACTTTATCTCATTTGGAATTGAGTTCCATATTTGGCTACATCTGTATGATACGGTATTAAATCCGTATATTTTGTAATGTGGCTCCGCTGTTTTGAAATGGGAGTTTCTTAAGTAAGATGGGCATTCATTTATGGAAAATATTTCATCCATAAAAAGTGGATTCAATCCGTTAAATGTTTTGTAAATTTCTATCGCAAGATATTGTAATTTTTTCTTATGAGAAGTTATTGTTTTATTCTTTATTAAAAGTTGTTCAAAAGTTGATTCATAATCATTATGAGCTATTCTCATTGCTCTTTCATGAATCCGGTTTATCCGGTTATTACTTTTCCTACTGCAAAACATCCAAATAAGAGGACAATAATTAAAATATGATAATATGAACGTTTTCATTAAAAGAATTCGCTTAGATTTGTCCATATATGAAGCAATCCTGGCTAGAGCGTTTACCTTTTCTCCCAGCTTCTTTACAAAAAACTTTAATATGTTCTTCTAATCTAAGTTGATGGTCTAGTGTTACTCCCAAAAGTTTAACATTCTTACTTTCTATTATAGTAGAACCATTTAATTGAATTTTAGATTCCTCTAAATTGGATCGATTGGCTTTAAATGTTATAAGCTTGCTTTTATCGCCATTGAGCACCAAAAATTTTCATAAAACCATTTATTAAGAATAGCGGCTTCCGATTCTAAGTCGTCAGTTAGTTCATTCATATCAGTACTTGACAGCCAAATTGTATTATCGTCTGCATAGTTGCATAAGTTGCTTTTGTTCAAATGCAGAAAAATATCATTTATGTAAATATTGAAAAGCAACGGGCCTAAGAATGATCCTTGAGGAACTCCTTGCTTTGTTTCCATCCAATCACTAAAATCTGAGTTTATTTTTACTCGTTGTACTCTTTTATCTAGATAACTATACATAAATTCCATTGCGTTGTCGCTGAAGCCATAAGATTTCAATTTGGCTAGTAGAAGTATATGGGGTAAACAATCAAATGCTTTTGATAAATCCATGAGCACTGCACCAGCCACATCTTTTTTATCCAGGCACTTTTTCAGACCTTCAATAAGTCGTAATAAAGCATGTTGTGTGCTATAACCTTTTCTGAATCCACAAAGCAAAGAGAACATTTTAACAATGATGTAATTGTAGATTTGATTGAACATTATTCTCTCAAATACCTTTGAAGCTGAGGGGAGCACACTTATTGGTCTATAATTCTCTTTACTAGTTGAATCTCCT